CCAACGGTTCCCTAAGTGAATAAACTGTGGCCAACATGTATCGCAGTGGAGAGGCAGCCCAACACCAACAGCAACGACGAGCGACTTCCGTTTCGCTGGGTCTACAAGCCCAGGGAAGCCTAGGGACAAAAGGCGAAAAAGGGGAAAGCTTGGGCTCGAAAAGCCCGAACATGAAAACGAAAAACAATGCAATTTTACTTAGGTTGGCAGCAAGAATTGATAAATATATCAGAAATTGTTGCTTAAATCAATGTGTCAAGAGCTGGAAATGCAAATAAACATAGAAAATATTGGCAGGCTCGCCGACGCACGATAAGAGGGAGAAGATACGGCTGATGGTTGCCGGGCAAAAGGCGGGGCAAGTACTCGACTGCAGACAAACAAAGCGGAAAGGCGACGCTTTTTCGACTTCCTATGGCACTTTGGAGTTTTTTCAACTATTTTCGTTTTTTTTTTTATACCCTGAACCCATTAAAAATGGGTATAAGGGTGTATTGTATTTGTGCAAAATCCAAATGTATGTAACAGGCAGAAGGAAGCAACTCCGACCCCATAAAGTATATATATTCTTGATCAGCATCAATAGCCGAGTCGAACTTGCCATGTCCATCTGTCCGTCCGTCCGTCCGTCCGTCCGTATATATGAACGCAAGGATCTCAGAACCTACAAGAGCTAGAGACTTGAAAGGTAGGTGCTCCTAGTTCCCGCGCAGACCGAGTTTGTTTCCGATAATCGATAACTTACTCCGTTTCCAAGCAATCGATAAAAATCGATATCGATATCCTGTTTTTTGGGCAATTTTGGTAAATAATAAGAGCTAGAGTCACCAAACTTGACATATAGCTTCTATACTAGAATATATATATGTATGCATTTGATGTTGGAAGAAGAGGGTTCAGGGTATCCCCTAGTCGGGAGCTCCCGACTAGAACCTCTTACTTGTTTAATATTGTATTTTTGTTGTTGAGGTAGTGCAGGGTTGTTGAGAGGGCTTGGAATAGGGGATAGTTTTGGCAGACATTGCGTGTGCTGACGTATTTCGTTATGCGATTTCCTCGCTTGCATTTCACCAAAATGGCAGACAGCTGGAGTGTCTAACAGACAGGACATTCACTTTCCGTTTCAAGTTCAACGGTGTGAGAGGCATGCAGTCGCAAACCTGGCCAGCAGCTAGTTGGCAACCTGCGGTGTCTGCTGTTGTGTACGACCAGGCATTGATAAATCGCAAAGCAACAACGTGTAAATAAAACAAATTAAAAATGAAAACGAAAATGAAAATGCAAATAAACACAATATTCGCACTTGAGAAAATCAAATAAAATTAATTTTAAATCAATTTACTAGTTTAATATCAACGTGACTTAAATTTTCGAGTTTTCTTTGATGTCCAAATGGATGTAACAATAATAAAGCTTAATAATAATAATTAAAGAATACAAATAATAATACAATAAAGAAAACAAATACGGAAACAATTCGTAATCATTTACTTTGATAGTGCTAATAAATAAAATAAATGATGCAAAATATAATAAAATAAACTAAGTACTTTCAAAATTTTCTCAATTATAAAAGTACAAATCTTACTCCAAACTTCATTATGTTATTCTTTTTTTAAGTGATATCAAATTTAAATTGAACAGAAAAATATGCAGATATATGTTATGCAGTGTTCCTTCCTCCGACAACTTTTATCAAATTGGATTATTATTTGTGCAGAATAATAATTCTTAATAAAATTTGTTCATTTGATGTGTAAAGAATACAAATTTTAATAAAAACTAATTTTAAAAAAATATGTACATACACTTAAATTTATGGGTCAAATAAGTTTGAACTTTTTTAATAAATCTGAGACACATAAAAAATTATTCGTTAAAATCCCAAGCTAAAAATACAAAGCTTCGTATATTTTTTTAGAAATATTTAAAAGAATATTCGATAAACTTCAGACTTAAGACCACTTTTTACAAAAGATAAATTGATGTAAATATGGATTTATATAGCTTTCAAAAAAATGTACTCAAAAATAGTTTTAGCTAAATACATAAAACACGTATTGAGCATACAATTATTCCAAAAATATTTGAAATTTCTTGCTTCGTTTTTTCTTCGTCATTAGCTTCGTTTCTTTGCCGTAAAAGCCAAACCAACAAAACATTTTGTAATCTACCAGCCGTAAAGTTAGCCGCCAAACTTTGCCAGACATAAAATGCGCATACATACGCGTGTATGTGTGTGTGTGTGGGTGTGTGTGTGTGAATGCGAGTTCATATGGTAAAAACTGTTTCGACGCTGGAATGTTTCAATATGCAAACATGCAATAGCCAAATTGCAATAACAACAGCCCGAAACGATCCAAACAATGGGCGTCTTTGGTCGCCAGTTGAACAATTGGGGCCGAGCCGAGCGACGTTTGCCCCGTACACAAACATAATCGCAAATTATAGGCTATATGGCATGGCCTAGGCTCCCTTGAAACTAGTTGGCAACGCACACGAGCACACACGCACACACACACACACCCACACTGCAAAATGGGCAAATAAAAAGGTAGCGCACTTATTTGCCGCCTTTTTACATTTTTCCAGGTATTACCGGGAGACTCTCTCTCTCTCTCTCTCTCTTTCTCAACTTCCCGTCTTACTCTCTTCAGCTTTTATATTTTTTTTGCATTTTTTCGGGTTATTATTTGGTCATAATTGTAATTTAGGTATTTGCTGTGTGAGGCGTCGACGAGCCGCAAAATCATGCTACTTGTTAGGCATGTGATGTGATTTTTTACGGCTCCCCATTTTGGGGGCGTGATGGTTTGCCGTTATGGCCGTCAAGTTGACGCCACAGTTTGTGGGCCCGTTCTAACGAGTTGAATGCGGGAGGCTACCCTTAAATTATCAGTTAGCCTCAAATGCGACGCCAGAGTTCCATAAAGTTGACGCTCTTAACTTTCTATGATATTACAAAAAATTGGATACCAAGAATTGAATGCAAATGAGAGCAGTCATTCGTAATTATTTGATGCGACAAATCTTTGACAGTTTTCAATTAGTTAAAATTTCTTTTTGAATTTGAATATTTATTTATTTTAATTGGTTTTAAAATAACTTCTAGTCTCAAATATTTATTATTAATATTTATTGATGGCTCTGGCGACCTTTCCATATTTCAATATTTATTTATTAGCCAGCCAACAAATAAATATTTTATTATTAATATTTATAATGTATATACATATATTTATCTAAAATCTTAAAAATTATCTGATTTAATAACTAAAAACTCAGCACATTCAGACCCAAAAATATGCTAGCAAAGCAGCTAAAGACGCCCCACCACAACAAAATGAATCGCATCTAAAGAAATGTTTCGGACACATTCTCAAGTACAGCGAGCATGACAAGTGCAAAAGCCAAATTATGAGAAGCTTATCATTTCGGCTGGGTCTTTCGGTCACCCTCAAAAGCTAATTTAACTAATTATTGGATTATTTACCAGCCGCAGCATCTTTACATAAGAAAATTTATGAGCGTGAAAAACGGGCAACAACAACATAACAACAACATAGCTGGACGGGCATCTGGAAAAGTTTAAAGTATATCTATTCTATTTGGGCTGTTGACATTTTGCAGGCACTTGCACAAATGTAAAAAAATAATTATCGCGCCCAATTGTGGATTAGAAATGATAAATGAAATGAAAATGAAAGTAAATTGGGCTTAAATATGATATATTAAATTAACATATTCCTAATTGCTTAAAAAATACAACAATTTGCAGCCTTGCTTTATGACACAAGTTACCTTTACATATTGTTAAATATTCAATTATATATAATCATAATATCAGCCATCTCTATTCAATTACCAAATGCCACATTCTGACATTTGTAAGACCCATAAATCCCACCCTAACACCAATCGGAATGCAGAGCTTCGTTATGCTAGCGCCATTTAACACCCTAATGGGGCAACATCGTAAATGTCAAGCACTTGCTCTAAGCCAGTTTTTTTTTCTGCCAACATTTTCTCTTTGCCAGCGGATCCGAAATTTAGTGGGCCCATTAACAATGTTACGGTACCCGTGGGACGCGATGCGCTGCTCACCTGCATCGTGCACGATCTCGTTAGCTACAAGGTGGCCTGGCTGCGCGTGGACACCCAGACCATATTGAGCATACAGAATCATGTCATCACCAAGAATCATCGCATCGGCATCTCGCACACGGAGCATCGCATTTGGCAGCTGCGGATACGCGATGTACACGAATCGGATCGCGGCTGGTGGGTAAAATACGATGCATACACATGATTTATATTAAAGTATTAATTTAATCCTTGACATTGTGTCTTGCGTACGCTGAAGACCTCATAAGCAAGCCAAAATGTTCCAAAATATAAGCTTTGTCCAACTACTTTTTAAATCCATAGTATACTAATACATTGTCATGATAGATTGATTTATTAATTATTAAAGCTATAGGTTGAAGTCGGGTTATAGTCTGATATAGCTAGTTAATAAAAAAAAGTTAATAGATCTATATATACTATTCTCGAAGTTGCATGTCGAATTTGGTGGCCTTAAAACCCAAAATGTATGCTCAAAAGCAGAATTTTGATATCGATTGCTTACAAACGGGGTAAGATATAGATTATCGGAAACATTCTCGTACTACGCAGAAACAAGGATAATGTCTGATATCATCATACATACTGACAGACTGCAGATGCTAACCACTTTACAAGTTCAGGGATGCTTTCTTCTGCCTGTTACATACATTTGGACAAAACCCATAAGCCCTTTTACCTACTTTAAATAGGTTGAGGGTATACCAAAGGGTTGCGAAGCACATTATTGCCAGATAACGTTGCATATAAATGAAAATATCAAAGAACTATGTGGGTCGAAGAACAGGCTTATTTTTATATAAATTGATATTGATATATAGGTGAATTTTACACTATAAATTCAATTTCGACTAAATTTCGACCAACTAAAAAATAGCGAATTCTTATAATGAATGTTACGTTATGATTAAATATTTAAATCAGACGGCTTTATCATCATTAAAATTAGGTTGTAGTAAACATAATTGCCATTACCATCATCAAAATACGCAAGTGGTGAATTGGGATTACTAAGAAACGAAATCAGGTAAAAAAAAACGTGAAAAGTGTTAAACAAACGCTAGTAAACTTATTTCATTTGAATGCTTTACCTGTCTAAGCAACGTTTCTTAAACCACCAGCCCGACGAAGACAACGTGGCACAGCCCTGAGGACTGTCTTTGTCAGGTGTGAAAAACTTGCTTCTTAACAAGGGAGTCATCAAATCAACCAGTGTACCCTTATGTAAGCCCAATAATTTTATTTTATAGGACTCCGCCTCACAGCCAATAAGGAAATGATTATATCGAGAATATCGAATTATGCCATCAGCGTCTTTCATGCAGATGTAAAGTTCGTAGCGTTGCGATTTGGTTATTATGTGCAGCCTTTCAAGGCCAATAAAAAAATCTCCTGCCGCATTGCCAAATCCCTTACTATAATCTCTCCAGCTCCTATTGAAGCTAACACTGCCATTCAGGCGTCTCTGCACAACGATCCAGCCTGGCGCCGTGTAGCTGGCGTCGCAAAGCTTCGTGGGGTCCTCTGAGAGAGGCTCATTGAGAGATTTAGTGTCCGTCCATGTTGCTTGAGGTTTCTCAGATTTAAGCTGGGTCTTTAGATCACTTACTTGCTTCTCTAGTTCAGACACTTTTGATTGCAGGCTTGCAACTTCCTCATTCCACAGCAGGCTTTCATAGTCTAAAGTATTATTTTTAGCTTTTAACATTTCCAACAAATTTGCATTACTCTTTTGCAGCATTTCAATTAAATTGCTTTGATCTTTCAATTGTTTTTCCTTGCTCTCAATGATTTCAACTTTATTGTTAACCAATGTTTCTTGTTCAGTTGTCAGGTTTCTCAAAATGACTTGATCGGGATTTTGGGTTTTTAATTTCGTTATTTGTGCCTCCTTTTCACGCACATTCAATTGCAATTGATTAATCAGCTCGTTTTTTGTTGCTATCAAATCGTCCTTCATGGCATGTTGTGCTTGCTTAACAGTCATATTTAAAATAGTCCTCTCTAGTTCATGGATCTTATTCTGAAGCTCCACAAATTGCTGTTCCTTGGAGTACACTTTGACTGCGTGCTGCAGCAGGGGCTTCACTATCTTATAGCAATACGTTCCTCATTGATCTTCGATTTCATTTGATGAAGTGCAATGCTAAAATACACAGCACAACACATTTTAGCATATTTGCCAGAAGAATTCTAATCACTTGTCAAACTCACCGACGATTGTTCTTTGCCATAATTGGTTTCAATTAGCACAAGTATCACAAGAATTAATAACACTCGCATTTTATAGGTATTTAATGACGCAATTTCCAAACGTTTTTCAGTTGAGCTCATTTGCAACTGAATTTGGCCGAGCCATAAAAGCTTTTGATTAAAATGTCACATTCAAATTCAGCTTTTATTGCGCGATAATTTGTTTGTTATCAATAAATGGGGCTTTCTTTGACATTTGATCTTAATTGTAGAACAAGCAAAACGAACACTAAATGCCCTTATAAGCAAACAAATTATGCATGATATATGTCCATATCTATATGATACCTTAAATTTATGAAATTTTTAATAAGGCATGAGCCTTCCTGTTAGCCAAAACAGCTGGCCAGTTCTTGGCCAAACGAATTGCAAAAAAAAACGAGAAAGTAAGAACATTTGAAGATCTTATACCTTTCTAGATATTTCCTGTTTGCAGATTTGTGCGTATAATAAGCTAAATAAAGCTAAAGAATATCTAGAATAACAGAATATTTTTCATTATGTGAGCCTACTTGGCGATCGATCGCTCCGATGGCAACTATATTTATGGTCCTATGTAGAAGAACAGACCTATGCAAAGCTTCAAGATGAAAACATCAAAACTAAGAGACTAGTCCGCAGACGGACGTGGTTATATCGACTCTGCAACCGATTCTGATCAGGAATGTATATTCTTTTTGAGGTACTAGATGTCCCTTCTATGCGTAACACATTTCACAAAAAAATCATTATACCCTCTACAAGGTTATACAAATATAAAAAATATATATATAAGAAATTAATGTTTGTCACAATGATTATCAATCCAAGCATTAAATACACAACATAGAACAATTAAAAGCTTAAGATCTGCCCCCTCCGGCCATCTAGCCCCTCTTCCCAGCTGATTTTGCACATGAGGTTATTAACTTCTAGAGCTATTCTTTATTACAAACTAATAATAATCGTTTATAACTGTTTTCATATGTGAAAATATATGAAATTAGAAAAGGAGAAAACAATAATTAAAATGAGTAAAAAAATTTGTTGTTAAATATAGAATATTATGTGGCTGGAGTAAAGAAATGGGAAATTATATAATTTGCAATCCACGCGATAGAAGAGTGCACACAATGATATGTTTTTGGTATTGATCAAGAACATTTATTGAAATATATCATATACTTTGTATACCCATATAAGATTGCCTTAGCGGAACACTTTCACCGAAAAGAAGCCCTCTGCTGAGATCTGCACATATCAAGAAGAATAGCACATGGATATTTGAAGACATCCCTATTAGCTAGTCTTAAAATGCGAAATTTATATATTCTTCAGCATTTTTGGGGCTTTAACTATATATATATATATATCTATATATATATATATATATATAAGATACCAGGTCACAGTCAATTTCCTAAGGATTACGATGTTGTACTTTCTTCCGATTGGAAAGTAAGAACGAAGTCTAGGTTTTGGACTAGACCCGCAAGTTGGGATTATCAATTTGTAAAGCACCAAAAGCCACGCAGCTATATAATTATACTTTGCAAGCGTAATATTTTGACAATTAAGTATTTGAGCGTCGAACGAACAAGTGTAAGGTCACTGGTTCAAATTCAAGAACAGTGCTCAATTTTATATTAGTTTATTTCATTTGTTAGTGCCCACAAAGATTAAAGCGACAATAAATTTGAAAAAAGGTAAAGAAAAAAAGGTTATAATAATAACAACAGAAATGCTTACATTGTACATATTTATGAAATATATAAACACATATTTTATATATACATAAATCTCAAGGTACATGTGCCAAATAAACACGGACCCTATGAAGAGCCAAATGGGCTACCTGGACGTGGTTGTGCCGCCGGACATTGTCGATTACCAGACCAGCCAGGATGTGGTGCGCGCCAGTGGCCAAAATGTGACGCTCACGTGCAGTGCGACGGGCGTGCCGCAACCCACAATCACCTGGCGGCGAGAGGAGAATGCGCCGCTCTGGCTGCCAACTGGCGAGAACGACCAGGAGCGCGAAATCTACAGCCTGGAGGGCCAAAATCTAACGCTGTGGCAGCTGCAGCGCGCCCACATGGGCGCCTACCTCTGCATTGCCTCCAACGGAGTGCCGCCAACGGTGAGCAAGCGCGTCATGCTCGTGGTGAACTGTGAGTATGCTGGGCACTCGGTTATAGTGTGGTTTTTGATAGCAGCTGCTCATCGACAGTTGCGCCCACCATTTGGACGCGCTACGATACCATCTACGTGGGCGTGGGTCAGAAGTTGACACTGGAATGCATTAGCGAATCGCAGCCCGCCTCGATCAATTTTTGGATCAAGGACAAGGAACTGCTGCAGGGTGGCAGCTACGATTCCATGGTCGTCGATCATGTCCATCGCATCGTGATGCGACTCACGCTGCGCCCGGTCACCAAACGGGATTTCGGTGAATACAAATGCATTGCCAAGAATGCACTGGGCGAGACAGAGCGCAGCATAACATTACATCGTCAGTAGAAATGGGCTTTAGTAGTATATATAGTATATATAATTTTTGTCTTTTCTTTGCAGATAAGGCCAAAAAGCACGTGCAGCACTCGCATCAGACATCAACACGCAATAATCAGTTTATTGTCATCGAAGGTAGATTCGTGCCCTTTTCTACTTGAATTTGTAGTAACTCTTACGTAATATTCCTTTTTAATCCCTTTCAGAGTATATAGCAAATAAGGCTTCCAGCATCGTATTACTTGACATTGGCTGGCTCACATATATTATAAGCTATGCGTGTATCATCATCTTGAGTTATGTCAATAAAGTCTTTTGTTCGTAAGCAATCAACAGATTTCATTATATAGAAACCAAATATTACTCTTCGCTTTAATTGATGGGTCAAAGGACACCAAAGGACATTCTCGTGTGTATTTAGAGAACGAATCGAATTTTAAAAAAAAATTAAATTGTAATATTCTTGCATTTTAGCCAAGTGTATGTGTACTTTAGTCTAGAAAGCCAGACTAACATTTACCCTATATAAAAACACATATACCCCCAACTACCGAATTTTCAGTCCAAGGCGGATGTGCTTCTTGCTTCGCCAGCCCCTCACCATAGCAAAAATAGTCTTCAGTATTTAGCTTCGGAGTTTACAGTCCGATCTTTCTATGGACCCAACGCAACCGTGTGTGTATAACAAAGCGTAAGGCTTTCTACTTAAGGTTTTTTAATTTTCATAAATCAACGCAATATTAAATTCATCTTTGCCCTTTCTTCTTAAATTATTGATAGTTATTATTTACAGGGTTCGCAGTAAAATTTATTTCCACATAAATTCGAATCTGCTTACGAAATTTGGGCAAAAGAATACAAAATGCATGCTTAGAGGCTGAGTCATCCTTAAAACAATTTATCTCGAATATTACTTAATCGATTAAGCTATTCTTCTTAACAGATATATATATATAGATATCGTCTGAGATATCCTTTTCTAAGAGTTACATAGATTCGGGGAAGCTTCGTAAACTTCCCAGAAATTATATTTAGCGCTGGATTTAAGATATCTTAAACCAAGTTGAATTTTTATTAGGTTCTTGCAATAATCGACTTAAAATGAGCTGATTTCAAGCAGCAGCCAAAATTAATGAACTTCAATATTTTTGCAATCTTTGAACAGTTCAATGAAATTAAGAGCTGGTGCATGCTTTCTTTTCAATTCGCTTATAAGTTTCAGAAATTTTGGCGGATCATAAATAATAATACGTTTAGAATATTTATTGAATATTGCAGAAAATAATAAATAAACCTTTGGTCTAATTTAGAAATACCAAAGATATAGATCTCTCCAAGGAACCTCCTTAACAGCTAAACAATGCGTTATGAATATCAATATATAACATAATATTAACTGAAAAGTGAAAAATCTTTGGGGTAGCATCAGCAAAATCTATAAGCTACGCAGAATAATATCCAAAAACAACGATAAACCCCAAAATCTTCTCGAAGGAACTGATCAACTGATCAAAATAAAGAATCAATTTCACACATGAATATTTGTATACCCACAGAGGTCAAAAATTTATGGGAAATATAATTGGGTTTCTGGTGAACTCGATTCTAGGATATTTGCAGATCCAGGTTAGACTACGGCCCCTTATTCAACAATTTTAAATGTCAAATACTAAGATAATGCGGTAAATGCTAAGCATGGCGTGTATTGTATTGTACTATGAAATATGATCAAATTATTAAAAAAGATTGAATTCTTCACTTATATATTAATTAAAATACTAGAAATCAATATAATCTTTGACAAGAGAAAGCACATGGTCTCTTCTAGGGCATTTAGGTTCAAATTGATCAATTAAAATATCATAGAAATATGCTCCATGCCACATTTGCTAAAAACCAATATACCCTTTCTAGCCATTATCAATTGGTTCAGGGCAGTAAAACTTCATATGTTTTAAGAAAATATGAATGAACATTATGTACTCACGCTCTCTCTCGCTCTCCCTCTCACGCTCTCTCTCGGGTGCAAAAGTGCGCCAAATGTAAAAAAGCTTCACACAAAAAATTACATTTTACCACTTATTCAACACAACTTTCACTACTATCCTTATATGACACTATACACAAACTGAGTGTGTTAAACACAGTAATAATATAAAATAATAGTAATAATAAATATAAATTAAATTGCTTGAAAACGATTTTATACACACACGCACAGAATACGACCGATCGCAAGACAGACGCGCACAGACTAAATTGCCTGAATACACTCGCGACCACGCTAAGCGGGCAGTCTCACTAAACAATAACAACTAAGCGGATAAGCGCTTTAGCTCACAACCGATATAACGGGATCAAAAGCGTTACGACCAATAGCGTGCAGGCACACTCTCGCTCTCTGGCGCAGCTCCAAAATGTCAATGCTAGTGATGTGACAGGTAGTGGACGAATTTTGTGGCTGCGTGAGATAATTTCCCATGCTTAAAAAAGTACAGTGTCTACCCTCTGGGTAAATGCTCTAACATGCTAAAGCATGTTGACTGTTGCATACAAACTAATTTGTATATATATATATATAATGTACATTAGGCGCAATTTTTGTAAAGAGCTACATTAATATTAATTTAAAAAGATTTTCCAATATATAATATATAGAAATACGTTAAAAAAGCTATTTATTTGCTCGATTAATTTCTAGCCAAAGAGTTATGTATATGATATAGAAGCGTCTGCTATAGTAGATTCTGGAAAAAACAATAAAATGTTTTCAATAACCCTGTTAGAGCACATATATTCTAACTATTTACTGATTAAAGAAAATAAGAAACTAAAGTTCTTTGTTGCTAAAAAAAAAAATAAGAAATATTCAATTTTTTTTGAGTCAGTTTCAAAGCGTGACACTAATTGTTTTTTTTTTTGTTTTTATTTAAATTGTTTTGCCTAATTTAGTTTATAGTTTTGACATATGCCAACAATTTCTTACATCAACTGTTTGTTCAAGGAAAAGTAATTTGCATTAGGAAAATTTTGTAATCCATTAAAAACAATAGATTTGAATTTTGATCTTGACAATTTTGCATCTAACAACATTCACATTGTTACATTTAAAATTAGCTACAATTGGGTTTAGCTTATGTATATACAATTGTGTTCTAGATTGAATCAAGTAATTAGCTAAGACTTTAACGCTTATTGTAGATTGAATTGAACTAAAGTGTTTAACAAATGGTGTCAGGTAGTTAAGCTAAAAGGGGGAAGTTACGTAAATTGTTAAATAAATTAAAATTATAAATATATGCATAGACAGATATATATATATATATCAATATATATATCTTAATTCTAACTATGAGCGTGTCGAGGTAGGCTGAACAATCTTTGTTAGTTGGAGTTGCTTACAAATAAAGTGTTTGTGTGAGTGTGTCGGTGTGTCTGTGTGTGTGTGTGTGTTTGTGTGTGTATACATATATGCGCTAAGCCTAAATTTCAAAACTTAAAACTGTTACAGCGTCATAGTGCAGTGGTCCCCCCATTTATCTGCTTCAACTTGAGCTGCCATGCCCATTGGCCAGATTTGTGGGCGTTGCGGTGGCTTCCATGACAGGCACTTCAATGGCCGGCGGCGGCGTGGCACCTTTGGCCTTGGCCAGCAGCTGGCGCTGCTCGTAGATCTCGTTGACCAGCTTCTTGACAAACGGATGATTGAATTTGCCCTCCGTCGAGTCAAAGAATTCCTGATGCTTTAGCAGGCAATTGTCGCGCTTCTCATACTCAAACGCCTGCATGACCATATCCAGACGATCCAGATCCTTGACAAACTTGGATTCGGCGCTCTGCGCGTGCTCGTATTCCTATTGCAACATAATACATGATCATTAGTTTGGTTATGGCTAAACAGGTATGTGTGTCTATCGACTCACCTCGAAGAGTTCCATGATGCGTTTGCCGCGCGGCTCAATCAGCTTGCATATATCCTCCATGGCCTTGAATTCCATGGCGCGCTTCTCCTCCTTGGATACACCGCAGAAGGGCGTAATGTCGCCCACCAGACTCTCGGCCAGATCATGCACCAGCGCCAGCTCCATGCAGCGTATCTGGTTCAGACCCTCGCTGCCGTCCAGCAGAAAGGTCAGCATGCTCATCCGATACATGTGACCCGAGATGGACTCGCAGTCATTGACGTCCCGCAGCACCCAGCCGGTGCGTTTGGTGTGCTGGAAAAACAAATAAACCAAATTAATGAATGCTTATAAATAAACAAATAAAACAATCATAAATGTATTATTCCCGATCTGCTTAGATAAGTTTTGGTGATGACATTTCTCCATATATGCTGATTTTACACGCAAATTTTCTTGGTCTTGTATAATCAAATATAAAATTAATCTATATCCAATTAACAGCTTTATTTTCTTAGAATGAATGACAACATTAATCTATCCATGTATATGACAAAAATAGTTTATAGTTATAGTTTAAGTATAACTATTTCAGAACCATAAAAACTTACTCATTGCATTCAGAAAATCTTCCGCTTTATTTAAGGGTCTTTCGGGTTTTTTTAATATCTTGGATTTTTAATGAATTACAGATCTAAAATAAACACACATCTTCTACCTATTTCAAAGATACAACCATCATGTGCGTGGCCCTAAAGTAGCCTATATATATATTTATGTATATTATATATACAAATATATACAACTATGAGCCCCAGCTTTGGAGTGGCTTGTTATCAGAAGCATTAGCTTATCGTATCTGTTATTTGCCGCACTCAGCCACTCGCATTGTTTTATTGGAGAAGTAATAAAAGCCTTATAAAATATATAAGTACGCGTACTTTTATGCCATCTAGCCATGCCTATTTACTATCATTTGGCAGACATTTTTGCATAATAACGATGTTGCTTGTATATTTGCCGATAAGGCACATAGCCTGGCCATAACGTGACTTTCACCTAGTAAGTCTGGCAATTTTAGATAAAACCCATGGGAGATAAGTTGCATTGTTAATTTTAATCACAGAGTCGGGCGGAATTTAATTAAATGCAAATTCAGGAAGTAGAACGTGGCCAACATCTGTGCACCTTGTTTACCGCTTGCTTCTATAAATAAACCCTTCTATAAATAAACCCTTTTATTGATCAAATAGCAACAGCCTAAACAGCCCCCTTTCGTATATGGGTTCAAGTTGAAGGTTGGTCGACCGAAAGGGGGAGGGGGGGGGGGGGTGTCACCGGCTACGCTGTCAGTGCCTCGCTCTACCTGTCTCCCCGCTCTCTCTTTCTCTCTCTGCTTTTCTTTTTAATTAGACAAAGTGCCTGAAGTCTGACTTGTCAAGAGGGGCTGCTGAGGCCTGCAAAAAAGCTATGAAAATCTGTAATTTTATATGAAAGATTTATAATGCAAATATTAAACAAAAGTCTCGGCATTTGTCAAAGGAGTCACACTCAAAAAATTAATGAGTATGCTTCCAATGGAAGAAAATGAAGTCTAGAAATCTAAGAAATTCGATTCATTTCGTTATTTTCTATGAAAACGCTGAATACAATAGGCAAAGGTTTTATGAGTAATTTATGTAGTTAATATATAATAAAATATTGTATTATTCAGGGCTTTAGAAATGGAACCTGATAAATAGAATTACTTATTTATACAATTTTCTACACGATTTGTATAAATAAACAAAATTCAAAAAAAATATATTGGAATAATATATGTATGTCTATAAGAAATGCAATTTAGTACGTCTTCATAGGGTATTTGATCTTCGAAAATAACTCTGCGTCTCTCTCCCATAATATAACATGGCAAATATATCTCAGATATATTTTAACAGACCGATCATGTATTCCGCCTGTTTACAGGGCATTTTCTAGTCGCGCATTAATTGTATTCTTTGTTTCTTTGTCTTCTGAGTAACCCAATATTGCGGTTACGTGTGAGCTCTTATATAGTATATATAACAACAGCTGCTATTCACAGAACCAGAAAATCCCCCAAACCGCCCTTCACCCCCCGCTGAGGCGCACAGCTGTTCTCTCTCTCTCTCTATTGAGATATATAATACGCAAAGATATATTTCGAAATTCTTGAAGGCCAAGATCAAAGTCACAAGTTGCGTTTTCTTCTACGCTCTATATATTTTCTTAAAAGATCTTTACCTATATATATAGACACATATATGAGATATGAATATTTCATTTGCCAAATCGCCTTGCAAATGTTTATATATTTTACAAAATCTGCCTGTCTCAGCCATTTCACAAAATTCCAAATAATTTCACATAAAAACAAAACGAATTTGTTTTTTTTTTTTAGTGCTCACGTGAGCTATTTGGAACTTTGGCTGTGGCCAGAGGCGAAACGCTTTTGCATTTGAAAACGGGGCTCAAAGTTCGATTAGGCGAATTGTCATTGTCGAATCGATGTTCGATTAAATTGCATGCGACACTTCGATAACGCAATGCGACTCGAATTCTCCTGAACCTCATTTGTCATATTGGAATTATCAATTATGCTGATTAGATACCGCAAACAAAAGTGGGAGGGGGACTCAGGGGTGCGAGCAAAGGGGCCTCAACTTGAGCGTGTGTCACCTGGGATATTGCGGTTGGTTTGTGTTTCACGAAAATAGTAATAATAATGAGTGCAGTCGCGCGTGTCCAACCAAATAATACCCTGTACCAAGGTCCAATTGAGCTTTGTTCCAAACACAAATATGCAATCGATATATGTCTAGCAAAGTGGGCAATTTATGGATTAATTACAATAAATATTATTTCAAGTTAATAGGCCCTTCTAATGGGTACAGGGTATAACACAGTCGGTACATACGAAATGCGCACACGAAAGCTCTCATGAAAAGTACAATAAATGCAAAACATACGGCAAAAAAAGCTTCGTATATCTATTTAAATAGATATCTGCTGTACTAAATCTCGACTATATTATTTATGTACATATCTATTTTTCAAAGATGAGAATTTTTGTGGGATACACAGAACCGAAGAAGAGGAAGAAAAGGCAAAACAAATTTTTCATTGTTTTCGCTTTCAGAATTTCAGTTCGAAATAAAATTATGTTTGTTTTTCTGGTCAAATAGATAAACTTTAGAAAACAAATATATTTATATGTTTTGTTTTGGCAAAATCTAAATTTAATATAATTTTTTTTTTTTTAAAGAGGCATATTCCAGTCTAAAACAAGTAAGAGGTTCTAGTCAGGAGCTCCCGACTAGGGGATACCCTGAACCCTCTTCTTCCAACATCAAATGCATATATATATATTCTATTTTAGAAGCTATATGTCAAGCTTGGTGACTAGCTCTTATTATTTACCAAAATTGCCCAAAAAACAGGATATCGATATCGATTTTTATCGATTGCTTGGAAACGGAGTAAGTTATCGATTATCGGAAACAAACTCGATCTGCGCGGGAGCTAGGAGCATCTATATCTAAAATGTCTCTAGCTCTTATAGGTTCTGAGATCCTTGCGTTCATACATACGGACGGACGGACAGACAGACAGACGGACGGACGGACGGACGGACGGACAGACGGACATGGCAAGATCGACTCGGCTATTGATGCTGATCAAGAATATATATACTTTATGGGGTCGGAGTTGCTTCATTCTGCCTGTTACATACATTTGGATTTTGCACAAATACAATATACCCTTATACCCATTTTGAATGGGTTCAGGGTATAAAAAAATAAATAAATAAGTGTGATTTTTGGCTTTTTGTTAAGTATTTCTTGCTTTTAGCACAAATTGCGTTAGCCCAGCTGATGACATTAGACATTTTGTTGCATGCAAATACTTTAGGTTTTTTTTTTAACATTCAAAAAACTTTCACGGTCGAAACCTCAAATTTTCGAAATCGAAAAACACAAGGCCTTGCCCCCCGCACGCCGGCCCGCCGCCCACACACGTTCGACAATTATGTTAGCAAACGGAGCGAAGAGAAGAAGAAAAAACAAAAAATAAAACTAATCTCAGAGTCACGCGATTTTGTGTAGGCGATAAAAACAGTCGAGAAATTAACCGAAAATTACAAAACAAACGAAAATAAAACAGACGAAATATATGGGGGAACGGGCGAAATCACAACAGAAAAAAAAATCAGCTCCTGGAGTTGAAAAATCGATGCGTAGCCCTGAGCAGGCGACTGAAGAAACGGTAGAAGAAACAGGTTTCCTTTTTTTTTTTTTTGGTTTTTTTTTTGCACTCACTTTCAGGTTTCCAATGAGCTCCATAAACTGCAGAATGTCTGCGAGGCCTGTGCTGAAGCAGGGCTTCTTTCCCGCACTGGAGGCTGCGTCGTGGCAGGCGGCGCCGTCGCCAGCAGCTGCCGCAGCAGCTGTTATGCTGCTGCCTTCGCTGGTGGAGATTTCCGCCTGGAGAGGCTCCGCTGCCAGTGAGGACATGGCGAACTTTGTGGTTGTCTGTTGTTGTTGCTGCTGCTGCTGCTGCGGATGCGAGGATTTGGCGTTATTCTCGCTGCGCTGAGTGTGTAGCTGTCGCTGTATGTCCTGGCTGCGCTGCTGCAGTAAATTGCGTACAAATTGCTTTGATAAATTGACAAAGTGCGCCGACTCCGAATTCGATTCGCTCGAACAGCAACCGTGCGCTATCGAAGGCGAATTGTGACTGACGCTGTCGCTGAAGTTGAATTCGCTTGACGGCGCTTGACTAGATTGCTTTGGTATTGCTGTAGTTGTAGCTTCAGCTGCCGCCGATGACGTCACGCCGCGTGTGCTCGCGACGCTGCCGCCGCTGCAGCTGCTGCTGAGTTGCCTAAGGAACTTGTATAGATCAGCAGCGCCACCTACGCTGCTGCCACCCGGCGACGCTGCGGCTGTCGTTTTGATCAATTGCTGTAGTGAGAACATGGTGTGAGAGTAATTCTAGTACTGTGAGCGAGTGCGACGAATTTGTCGTTGAGTGAGCGCGTGATGTTTAGCTACAATGTTGTGGTCGACGCAAACACGTGATGTATGTGTGCTAAAAAAGAGAGAGAGAGAGAGTAACGCGAGAGGGAGAGACAAAGAATTATTAGTTTGTTTATTGCTAGCACAAATGTGGATACAAGTGGATGTATGTATGTATGTATATGTATGTAAGCATGAATGCAGATTTACATGAGCGCATCTGCAATATAATATATGTAGTTTTCAGGCATCGCTGTATTTTTTGGGTCATAGTTTTACAGCATTTTACAGCTAGTTTTTGTTTGTGTGTATTTTGCGAAAAATCAGTTTTTTCTGGAATTTTCAAGCTTGGGTCTACGACAATTCACAGAATTTTTGTTATATACATTTAATTTTCCGGTTTTCACTAGTATTCAATTTTTAGTTGTATTTGCACAGCGCTTGGCTACAAATTTAATAAAACAAAAATAAATTATGCGTTACATTTCCTATTTGGCTCTGGCATCAAAATAACAGGGCGAGGGCTGTTCAAGCAGTTTTTTTTTTGGCTAATTATAATATAAGTGTTTTTTTATTATGTATGTTAATAACAATTTCATTCGCAAAACTATCTTCTGATAAAATGTTTTTTAAAACATTTGTAAAATAATATCAAAATAATTTATTTATTATTTTGACTAAATTTAATTTGTAAATCAGTTTACAATATCAATTTAAGTTCCCGATTTGTAATTATTAATGAAAAACAAGATTAGTTGTATAAATATATATATTTATAAATAATTTAATAAACCTTAATCATCATTCATCGACAACCTACTTTCGTTTTCTACTAGTTAGACTGTAGCTATTTTAAATTCCCTACATATTAAGCTTTGGGAAGTGAAATTTCCCTATTATTAAAAATTTCCCTTGCATCAACTGTGGTAAGACGGTTTACAACTTTTGAAGCAGCCCGCACCTCAGACATTACACGCAAAATTTACGTTGAATGACGCGGGCGAATGATGTTTACGCAATATTTGGAATTTGGCACACAAAAAAGTCGCTGACACAAATAAACAAATATTTGTTGTTTTTATTGTTGATTAAAGGCACAATTATTGGGATTTAACAATTAATATGCTTATCTTATACATATGCAATTGTATGTGTGCACTCATTTTTTTTTTTTTGTTTGAAGGTTCTATCACCAACCTTGCAAAAGCGGCTGCCCCAGACTTGAACTTTGTTCTGGGCGAGGGAGGCGAGGAAGCGGCGAGAACCGACGGCTCGCGTGCGCCTTGTGACTGCGGCGGCGTCACTTCAAGGTAACGATGTCGGACAGCGACGTCGACGCTGGCGTTTTTCGGGAGGGGGGCTTTATTGTTATTATTGTTGTGTGGGCACGTAGGCAAGAGCTCTGCCGCTGCTTAGCTGTAAATGTTGACTAACGGAAAATGCGGTCGCCACAGCGGAACTTTGAATTTGACAATGGGGCAGCGACAGCGACGGCGTCGGCGACAATTAAAAATATCACTAAGCTAATACAGACACACACACAAACACACCGCCATACACACATGTACACAAGCGAAATTCATGCTACTTCTTCATTATGTTTCGGGTCTTATTTCTATGCACTTGTCTTTATATCAAGGCAACTCGGTTGTTAATTCACGTACGGCTGCAGCAGCCAACGGCTAACGGTAAAATTTTCACTCGCCTGTCGCGAGTAGAATTATTCTCTTTAAGCAATTGCACAACAAATGATTTTTGGCAAACTAACTCGCGCGGCGCCGCCGAGTAGGTTCGCGTCGCTTGAAATCGACCGATAAATTGTGGCGGCCGCTCGATTTTCCGCTGCAACGTTTTTGGTACGCTGCTAAAATATAAACGAAAATAACTTAAGACTTCCCTCAAAATGTATGACAATTTTAATTAATCTGCACCTTATTAAATAAATAGTAGTAATATTAAGAGTTATTCGTTCTGCGTGTTAAATTCATCAAGGTATTGTTTTCCATATTATTCCATACTGACAATCCAAGCTATAGTATGGTACGTTATATATGGTACTATGATAACATAAGTTTATAACTTAAAAAAACCTTTAAAACTAATTCCAACTCCAATTCCTTGACTATTGCAAAATATTTATACGTTTTGCTGAAGGTATGTTAGTATAAATACTGCGAATCCAAATTTTAGTATATTTTTATCAGTTATCGATAAGTCTAAAATGCATTATTGTGCACACTGTTTTGTTTTGTATTGTTGCCGATCTTGCCGCGCTTTTTCTTCAGTGAGATATAAATTAATTGTTATAAACAATGTTGGCGCCCATTAAACATTTGCTGAGCAATTACCGCATTGTCCTAGCCAGCGGCTCGCCACGCCGCCAGGAACTGGTTCAAATGTTGGCAAGTGTTTCGATTGCCAACGCATTTCATGTACTAAAACTCAATAATATGTGTTATGCAGGGTCTGAATGCGGAGCTGTGCCCCTCCACGTTCGAGGAGAATCTGGACGTGGCGGACTTTAAAGAGTTCTCCGACTACATAGAGGCCACCGCGCTGGGCAAGGCGGAGGAGGTGTTCCAGCGCTTGAGCGGCGTGGACGACAGCAAAAAACTGCTAGTGATAGCGGCCGACACGATGGTCACCCTGGGCAAGGAGATCTATGGCAAGCCCAAGGACGCAGCCGATGCTGTGCGCATGTTGACCAAGTATGGTTTAACCTGTGCCCCAATCAAAATCCACTTATGTCCACACTTTGCAGCCTTTCTGGCGCCTGCAATCGCGTCTTTACGGGCGTCGTCTTCAAGCATGCGCAAGGCGTGCGCAAATTTACGGAAACCGCCGACGTTTATTTTGGCCAACTAACGGAGGCGCAGATTCAATGCTATGTGGACAGCGGTGACCCACTGTAAGTGGAACCAAAAAGAAAAAACTTATTAAGATACCCTGTACCCGTCCTCGGGCTGCCATAACAAACACTCAAACTTCCTTATAGTGGCGTCTCCCAATGCTGCTAAAAAACCTCTTGATAGATTATATATTTCAATAATTGAGTGTCTAGATATTCATATTATATATCTGGTATTGACGGATTCGTACAGATGCACAGACAGGCGAACATTGCTAGATCGACTCGGTTCGTCGTCCTGATGAAGAATATGTATACAGAGATTATGGAATTAGTTCATTTGTTAGTTACGCACAATTCCATCAATACATTATACAAATACCAATATGTCTATAGGGTATAGAAACAGAGTGGTCTAGCAAGCAGTATCCGACTAGTAGTTTCTCTGTACCCCTCATCATAGAACCCATAGATCCCATGGAACGAAAACATGCACAACAAGTTTGTAGCGATAGTTATTCACGCTGCTTTCAGAGATAAACGAGCATAATTGTCATATGCTGGTCATATGCTGACAAGGGAAAAGATTATTGTATCTGTTATCTATTTCACTCCCACTTAAAAACATTGCCCTCATTTGCTCTCCAATAGATATTTTATATGCATGTATGTACTTCGTCTGATTGCTTCCCTTTCGAGTGCGGAGTAATGTGGACTAAATAAAGTGTTTTGTCACGTCGACTTGCAAATTTTTGGTTTCACCTATATATTGCTGATGTGGGTAGCTAATCGAATGCATGATAACATTTACGGGTCGAGCATGAACGGACCTTTTCCCACGTTTGAGCATGCATTATATTATTTGTTTGCCATTGTGGTTTTGCTGACTGTCTATCCCCATTACGAAAATAACCTAGCCATTAACGCATAAAATATAAAAACAGTTTAAGCTATATCTATGAAAAGGTATTTAATCTTTGGCGCGCCGAAGATAGCTGTTATTTTTTGTTATTTTTAACTATATTGACACTTGAACACTAGCCTACATACATGTGTATGTATGTATACATTACTAGCTAATTTTGTCGCAGTCAAATTTTTGCCACCCTCGGAAAATCGAAATTAACCTACGTAAAACTTTAAAAATAGGGGGGGGGGGGGGGGGGTCCATCGGACTGAAATTTCGCCCATAAAAGCGCAGAGTCTTGTTTTCCACATAGCTCGGTGGATTTTCCGAAATGTGGGAAATGTGTATTAAATGAATTTTCTTCTTTATCTTTGAAATTAGTATGAAACATGTATAAAATAAAGTTATGGTCAGTCGGCCAATGAGTTAGTCAGGGCAAACTGTGTTATTATATATGTATATAGGTAGGACTTGGATTTAAAGCTTTGAAAAAGCCCTTCGCGAAAAGTTTGTTTGCCTGTGTAAGTGCAAGTACGCGATACATTTTGTTTACCTTTAATTGACTGCCTGGTCGAAGCCAAATATGTGAGGATTTGAACGAATCGGAATAACTTCCAAAAAAGCCACAGACATCGCACCTCATTTATCATCCACTCATTGAAGAACAACTCACAGGCCCTTAACAGTGCCCAAGACCGATTCTATGTATTGCATGCTTAGTGGTAATTGATTCAAAGATTTGGAAGCTCATCTCTGCTTCTCTCCCGATGCAGCGACAAAGCAGGCGCCTATGGCGTTCAGGGTCCTGGAGGCGCTTTGATACGCCGCATTGATGGTGACTTTTACTGTGTCATGGGTCTGCCATTGAATCGTCTGTGCTGTGAGCTGAACAAATTGTTTCTGGAGGATCTAAAGTAGCTGCAAACAAATATCGTCAGTCGCGCTTATCACAATCCACATCTGTAATCTTGCACGTCAGAGGCTATACTTAAAGTGCAGGTGGTCTATGTATGTAGTTGATAAGGCGTTGTATTTGTGTTTTTAATTGTTTGTTTTTGTTTGCTTGTAGACTAAGTCAAGAGTACAAATTAAAAAAATAACAAAAAATAGCGGCGTTTTTTTTGGGTTCCCCTTACACATAAAGTCAAAGTGATGTGTCAATTTTGCTTTGCTAGGTGCACAGTGGTTGAAGTACATTCATAAAGGGGTCGTATATATTTATGTTGCATTATTATTATTTTTGTAAGCAAGAAATTTGTTATAAAAATTCAATGTTAAATTTATGGATAGAATTTTAATATTTTGCAATAAGAATATCAACAAATATCAAAATTTATGAAAGTGCATTCTTGTGAACAGTAAATTTTATATTTATAATTAAGCTTTTTCTATTGTTATTTAAATCAGTGAAGAAAAAAAGTTATTTTTATTGTTTATAGGTCGAAGATATGACTACAAACATAAATATTAAAGTCATTATTTTCATATTAGTTGGTAAAAAAAAGAGTTTTTTTTAATGTGCATATCAAGTAGCAAGATAATTAAAAAAATGTTTAAAAATATTTCTTTACCTTAATAATTTTAATTTAAAGCAATATTTAAGTACAATTTTAAATTAAATTTGTTAAATTTTTATGCAAATGCACAACAACTGCAAGTTATGTGGAAGAAAAAAACCAAACAAATTATTTTTAACCACTGTGCTCGCGTTTCTTCAACTAAAAACGTCGCATCATTTTGACTCTATCGTTTAAACAAGCGGCCATAAAGTCATTTGGAAAAGTAACGTATATTTTCAAAGATAAGGCCATGATTATACAAACCAACGAAGCACAATAAATCGAAAATATATACACGATTATTTTTTTATAGAATTAAATAACATGAGCTGCTCGCATTCAGTGCACAATCGTCAACGCGAAGCAACACAGCAAAATGACGCAGAAGCCGCAAGAAAACCAAAGCCACAACTCCTACAAGCTGTGGGGTGGACGTTTCAGTGAGAAAACCAACGAGGCGTTGCAAGAGCTGAACAACAGTCTGCCCCAAGATGCCCGACTATATGCAGATGATTTGGATGCGAGCAAGGCCTATGCGGAGGCGCTGATGCGTGCGGGTCATTTGAATGCCATCGAATGCGATAAGCTGGTCAAGAGTCTGGAGATAATACGTTACGATTGGGTCGAGCGTCTCGTCAAGTTTGAGCCCAGCGACGAGGATGTTCACACAGTGAACGAGCGCCTGCTGGTGGCACTGACCGGCGAGCTGGGCAAACGCCTGCACACGGGACGCAGCCGCAATGACCAGGTGGTCACCGACATGAAGCTCTGGCTGCGCAAGGCCATACGCGAGACGCTGGGCCGCCTGCGTCTGCTGATTGAATCGATTGTGTCGCAATCCGAGTCGCATCTAGGCGTGCTTATGCCAGGCTATACGCACCTGCAGCGCGCACAGCCCGTTCAATTCTCGCACTGGCTACTCTCGCACGCTTTCGCTCTGCGCGAGGATTGCCAACGCCTGGCTGAGCTGCGGGATCGCTCAAATGTTTTGCCACTGGGTAGCGGTGCCGTTGCCGGCAATCCTTTGGGCATTGATCGCATTTGGCTGGCGGAGCGTCTTGGTTTTGCTGCAGTTACGGGCAATAGCATGCATGCAGTGGGAGATCGCGATTTTGTAGGTGAGTGTCTCAGTGTCTGTTGGGCTTGGTGAAACTCATGAAAATCGTATAGAAAGGCGGCAGTTCTCTACATTAAAATTATATACCACAAATATATAAAAATCTCTCACAAATACATGAAAATCACGTAGGAGGGCGATTTTCATAGGAGAAGGAAATATGAATTTTAATAAGTTATACAAATTCAATTCAATTCAGATCGATTTGGTAAATATAAATATTTCGGAGTAAGGGTACTTGTTGATAAAGTAAAATAAATTTGATGTATTTAGATAAGTCTCCATTCTGCAATATATATTTGCCCAACAAATGCCCACTGCTATTTTAGAGATAACTATTTAATATTATTAATACCCTCTGCTTTGTCTTTGTAGTTGACTTTATCTACTGCTGTTCAATGGTTAGCCTGCATCTATCTAGACTTGCCGAGGATCTCATTATTTACAGCACCAAGGAATTTGATTTTATCAAAATCGCAGATAGTTTCTCAAGCGGAAGCAGTTTAATGCCACAGAAACGCAATCCGGACAGTCTGGAGCTAATACGCGGCATCTCTGGTCTGATTACATCCAATCTGACAGGCATTATGATTACCATCAAGGGCACGCCCTCTACCTATAATAAGGATTTGCAATTCGACAAGCAATACTGCTTTCAGGCCTTCGATAAGCTCTCGCAGAGTCTGGATGTGGCTGTGGGTGTGATAGAAACCATGCAAGTGCGGCGAGATCAATTGGAAGCGGCGCTCAGCTCAGATATGTTAGCCACCGATTGGGTGAGTTGAGACTGTTTACTATTATTCATATATTGCCCGGCTTTTCCCTTGTCCGCCCGCTAGTTTGATTTTCCCAAAATGCATTTTCAAGATTTACAAGTTGAAACCTAAGCTTAATGCTTATTGAAAGTGAAAATAGAACTGTCTACCCAGTTTCCAACCAAAGTTGTTGGGTATTCCTCAAAATAATGAACTTGTCTTAAGGGGATTTTAACAGAGTTTTTAAAAAAAAGCCTAAATGCGGTTTTGCCTATGCGTTGCCTTTTATAAATGCATAAATATCTACTATTTTTTACTGTAAGGCCTACTATCTGGTGCGTAAGGGCGTGCCGTTCCGGGAGGCTCATCATCATATTGGACGCGTGGTCACACTGGCGGAGCAACGGGGCGTGGACATAACAGAGGTGCCGCTAGGTGAACTGCAGCAGATTTGTGCCGCCTTTGGCGCGGATATTGCCAGCGTGGCGGACTATGGCTACAATGTGCAACAATATGATGCGATTGGAGGCACCTCCACCGCCAGCATTACCGAGCAGCTGCGTCTGCTCAAGAATTTAGACAAACAATTGCGCCAGCAGTCCTAGAACAAAGTCTGGAACTGATTTGTTTTATTTGACTTTCGCTTTGGCTTCAGTTATTTAACAAATTATATATTTTACATTATATCATTCATGTTGTTGTTATTGTTGTCGCTATTGTGCCTCTAGTTGACGCTGGGACTCTGGGGTGTGTAGGTATAGGGTTCCTGTGTGCCCAGCACGTTGCTATTCTCGAGCTGCTGGTAGCCGCACATCGCTGAATTGGCCGGCAGACCGACCTTGCCGCCAGAGATGAGCACGCTGAGGCTCTGTTGTAGCTGCCAGCGGCGTGCCTCGCGTATGGACTTGTTGCGACGCAGCGTCTTGGCCAGCATGAAGGCACAGAGTACACCCAGCAGCTGCACAAAGGCCACTGTGGTGGCTCCGGTGGCTATCAGCATGGCGCTCTGTGACAATATGAAGCTCATCTTGTTGAAGCAGCCGTATTCGTAGGGCTGCAGGCAGTTCACCTCGTTGTTATCGTTGGGATCCTCGGCCAGGCTGCCACAGCACGAGATTGGCACCACCACATCATCCGAATCGAGATGGGTCATGTTGTTGTTGGGTGAATAGTTGTCCTTCCAGTCATCGGGACTAATAACTCCGCAGCAGCCCAACTGAAAACAAAATTAGGATTCTTCATAATTATAAATTTTCAAAAATACTTAATATGTAAATGAAGTTAAATATACATTTAAAGTAAAGATTGAGATGTTGTCAATTGAGCTGAATTTCATTCTTATAAACAGTTTATTATAATTTTAACAAATATAAAATGTTTTAGGAAAATTTGTTCACTATTAAACAGCTACCTGCATAAAGCTTTTAGTTTTATTTTCATACTCAAAATCTTTCATAAAAACCGGTTATTAAAAAGATTTCATTCAATTTCTTAAATAATAAATTGTTTAGCAAATTGCTAAATTTCAGAAAATATATTGAGTGTAAAAATGTTTAAATAATTGTAATGTTTCAACAAAAAACTTTTTTTTTTTAATTTATAAATTTGCAAAAAATATGATCACAATAATTAAAGGCTTTTAAAAAGCATGCCTTATACCTTAATAATTTATATCTGAATAACCAGAATCTAAAAAAAAGTTTGGAAAATTCAAATTATCTTTTTTAAAGAATAGTTATTAAAATTATGATAAAATGTTAAAAATTCTATAGGAAAATAAATTTGTAAAGTTCTGAGCAAACTATTCAACTAAAGTATTTAAGACAAAAGATAAGTTCGCCTCAAATAATATTCTTTCATTTTATGTATGTACATATATATGAGAAGCTTTCAGTTATACTTACACCGGATTGCATAAAGTCCACTCCGGCGGCAACATTGCTATCCGTTTCGTAGTTGACCACGGCCTCGTTCATGGTGCGCATCAGCATTTCGCGCACCTGTGATTGCATCACAAAGGCGGCAATGGCCGCCGACACCTCCAGTATGAAGACCAGGAACAGGCATACACCATACTGCAGAACGGTTGCTTAAATCGTTACAAGTTCAGTGTTGAAATCAGCAGTGCACCACTCACCAGATTAATCACCATAACGCTCTCCTTGACCGCTCCATAGGCGCCCAGTGTGGCAACGGCAATCAGTATGAATCCAATGGCAATCAAGAGCGCGGGCGGTGACGAGAAGTGTCCATCAATAAAGAGACTAAAGTCACCGAAAATCGCCTGAATGGTGGAACCTACCATGATCAGCAGTATAGCAGTCAGCTGCGAATAGCAAAAAAAAAAATAATATAAGAAACTGCAAATTCAGTTAGCAATTGCATGCCAAGTCAAGTGAGGATGTGGCATTTGTACCAAGATTCACTGCCAGATTTATCTAATGCATTGTTTTGGGCTGAGCGGGGGTTGAGAGCTAAGCCTTTATATGCTCAAAATAACCTTTTTTTTATAAAAATAATTAAAAATATAATACTCTGAACCCATTAAATATGGGTAAAACCCGTATGATAGTTTTGTGCAAATAGTTTTCACCCCATAAAGTATATATATTTTTAGTCAGCATCGATAGCCGAGTCGATCTAGCTATGTCCATATATCTGTCCGTATGTTTGAACGCGTCGATCTCAGAACCTATTAAGGCTAGAGACTACGATAATCGTTTCAATACAAATCGATATTATTCGAGTAAATCTTAAGAGCTTGATGTTTAACTCCCTAAAAGAACCTTAAACACTATTTGTGTAAATAGGAAATTAAAAGCCTAAAAATAACGTTGAAATATATTTAAGCTTCTTTTATAATTTTCTTGAAATGTGTCCTCAGATATTAGGTGAGGCTCATTAGCAATTTGAATCTCTTTAATATTTAAAGACTAAAAAAAAAATGTTTAAAAATTATTAAAATTATTTAAAATAATTATTTAATTTGATTCAGTATTTAAAGAGCTATTTGATATTATTCAACACTCCCACAGCTGTTTCAGCCTTAATTCAAATTGTGGTTACTTCATTTGGGAAATTACTCAGCTAGTAAGTTGGTATACCCCATTTGATATATATTTTGATTCACTTTGATGACTGTTATAATGATAAATATAATAAAAAGCTGATCATACGAATGAATAGATAACAAAGAAAATTTCCAAATAATGAAGCATTATTTTTGTAAAATAGATAATGAGACAATGGAAACTCATTCACTGAAAAACGAACTTTAAATTTAGATTATAATATTAAGACAAAAAAGTGTTGTAAAATGCAGTAAAGGTTTTTTAAAATCTTTCGGAACGTGAAATTAAAAGTGCTTCCATGAATAATAAGTAATATTTAACGCCGGTCTGGCAGCTGTTTTTTTGGACTGTGTAAATAATTGCGTCAGATAATTAAAAAAAAAAACCTTGGAGCATACTCATACTGGTACTAGAGCTGCGCTCTTCGAGAGTTCTGTTCCTGTCCTAATTATCTTATCTGAATGCGCTGAGTGGGCACAAGGGTACAAATATTTGTACTCTGGCTACATATATATTTATATTAATGAGTGTACATAACTTTTGATCGGAAGTACAGTTCGAGAAGAAGTTTCCATTCTCAGAGAAGCCAAGTAAAATATTGTACAGATAGGAAAAGTGAATTTCTAATGTAAAATAATACACAAAACGAAAAGGTGACAGTATATATAATACATATTCTTTAGTTATTCATTTGTCTCAAAAGGCACGTATATCTTTGTGAGCTTTTCAGTTACATTGACAATATTTCTGGGATTGGGCCCATCGTTTGCTGACAATTCATAAGTAAGTATACTAGTACTTAGCACTAATAGAAGTTATCTGCATTCTGAAGAAACGTAAGTCAAGTGTCTGCTGAGCGAAGTTTATTTGTTTGAAATAAGAAAAACAAACTGGCACTTGACCCGCTTCTCTTTTTCAATTCTCTTTGCTTCTCCGAGCTAATGTGAGTTTGTACAACTGAACAATTCACACACGTTATATGATTCACAAACACCACGAAAATTGCTCAACTACTGATAAGCGCAAAACAAGAAAAAAGAAGCATTTATTATCAGCGCTTTGATATATATTTTTTGTTCAAAGTGGAAATCAAAATGGCGTCGTTTTTCAAATTATGAATCATGAAATGTGAGTTTCGATCGTTTTTGAAAAACTCACCGCGAACATAAAGCTCACTATGATGAGCATATATTTGGCGCAGCGCATTCCGGAATTTAATTCCAGCTCCCGATTCGCCATTTTGCTTGTTTCTTTTATATTTGTTTTTAATAGTTTTAAAGCTGTTCCGAGGGTGTCCGCTGCAAAGTGTTAATTATATAGTATTTAATAATTTTTCTCAATTTTTTTTGTTGTTCGTTTTTTGTTGTTATGTTCCCACAAAACGTACTTTAACTTTTGCTGGCTACACGTTGACTGAGCGGCCCCCGAACGGGAACGTTGCCAGTTGCAAGCGCCAAACGGTTCTCGGCTCTCGGCCAATTCGCCCGCTATTCTCTCCGTCTCTCACTCTCAGCCAACTAACTGCCTCTCGTTTTAACGCTTTTTTATATGTAACATTCAAGTCGCTTATCAGCCAATAAATGTTCATTGTTTTTACTCAATGTACTAGATAAAAGTCAGCGATAAGATTATGCCCCAATTCATTACATTTTGCAATAAAATGTTAAATTAGCTACAGTGAATATATTAGAATTTTCCTCGCTCTCTTTAAATGCATATATGTATATATAACTTGGTGAAATCCATAGTAAATACAAACGTCATTCAAGTTTTTCTACAATTAAAAATTGTAACTATTCCAAGTGCAAGGTCGTTTGGCTGGTGGGTGGAGCGGGGCGTTGAGCATGTGCTATATCGATTCTATATCTAAATTTTAATGAGTCAACGGCTATGCTTTATCGATTTTTTAATAATACCGCACCCACCGAATAGTTTTCAATTATTCATTCGCTGTGGTCATGCATAGACTGTTTGTTGGGCATTCGTTTATATGCTAAAATAATATTCTAGAGCTGTCTGGCAATTTCGTTGAGTAACTACGCAAATATTAAAAAAAAAAGTTTATTATAGGGTTCTCTAAAAAGATAAAAGCCTAATAAAATCGAGAAAACAGCATTATAATTATATGCCTTTGGCAATACGCTAGAGATATTCCGAATTTTGATATTGACTTCTTTTCATATAGCATACTTACGGGATTTCTTTTTAACCCGTTTTCTGCACTCTTTAATGAAAATTTTTTTGCAAGATATTAGAGTCAGTAACAGGAGTATTACAATATAATATTATATAATAATAATAAATATAATCATATTAAAATAAATCTTGAAAAAATAAAAGAAAAATTTTAAATCAACTTATATACCGAAAATACATATATATTATTTTAGCTTAATTGACTGTTTTTTTTTTTGGACTATCTTAAAAAGATAATCTTACCAGTTAACCGTAAATATCACCAATATTCGTTTAATAGTTGCAGTAAAATTTGGATACATGTATAGCTTACGAGGTTAAAGACTTTCAAATCATGTTTTTAATACAGAACATGCTTTATTATTTCTTTATATTTAAACGTGTATTAAAAAGTTTAAATGAATTCAAATTAAGTCTATAAACCAAAAATTTTCCTATAAAGTTTCATTAAAATTGAGAAGAAAAATTGAGAAGAAAGTTTCTTGATCAAAAAATAAAACCAAAAAAGTATATTATATTAGCTATAGCTATACTATGTGAAATTTTTAGAAACTTGATTCATATTTTTTGCACGGCTATATAAATAGATTCATGCTTATAAAAAATTCCCAAAACCAAAAGAGTGCAACGTAAATTGAATGATTGCGTCCTTTTCAAGAACAATGATGATTCGATTTTATTTATGGGGGTCTGGAAGTGTTATAGGGAAAATGAATAAGTGGCAATAAGTGTCATTAACTGTCTATAAAAGCTAAATTGTATTTATTCATAAAATTATTATAAGTTTACAAATATTTTGAATAATTTAGCAGCGGAAAAGCACGAATAGCTACAAGAATTGTTATTAATGTGTTACTTAGGTTTAAGCTCAGTTTAAGCAGGCTATGAATTTCACGAAGTTCCATTTATATAATGGAACTTATTAACATCATCATCATCTACATGAAGCCTGAGATGCCATTGCGTATTTTAATCTCTCGCGCTATATAACAGGCAAATATGACGCCAAAGAACTGAAAATGAATAGAATAAAATTAGGGATCCCAGAAAAAATTGCAATGTACAGTAAACTCACTTGTAAGACGGCAATGACAACGCCAGCAGCACCCAAACTGACCGCATGAGCGGATATGTAATCCGCAAAGCCGGACAAGCATCCTCCGTTCTCGTTGAGGTACACGTTGTTTATGTCATTCATGCAGCTAAAGGTGCCTATGGCTCCTACGGGTATTTTGCAGCACGAAAGGGGGAGTTCGGTATTATTTAACACTTTCTGCCAGTCCGTAGAATTGTCGATGCCGCAGCAATTAAAATCGCGCTGCATATCATCCCATAGAGCGGTGGTTGGGTTCTGTGTAGTATTCTTGTAGCTACTCATTGATTCGTCCAGCGAGGTTCTGATCAAGCTGACAGCATCACTTCGCAACACATAGCCACTGATACCAGCAGCCAGTTCCAGAATGAAGATGATAAACAGCATCACCGAGAAGCTTAGAATCAGGCAATAGTTCTCCTTGAGCGCACCCCAGCAGCCAAAGAAGGTTATCACAATGATAAACGCTCCAATCACAATCAGAAATGTTGGTATCGAGAAGAATTTGCTGGCCAAAAAGATTTCATAGCCAGTGTATACGGCGCCTACTCCAGCACCAACTGCTATTAGAATAATGCCAGTGATCTGTGAATTATAATAATCAATTGTTGAGTTGCACAAAAACCGCAGTGCTTAAGAGTCCTTAGTTAAGATAATTACAAATTCAATAGGTATTATTAAATATAATCCAATAAGAATTTTGTAGTTAGGCGTAATAGTAGTTTACAGTCCAATACCAGATATAAACTCAAAAATATTTCCTCTTTTTTGGCGTTTATAAAATAATTGTGGATCGTGCTTTAGTATCGCTGGTCAGTATCCCTAACTAGGCGTAAAGATATATATCTACATCCTTATCTGAGTTATTTTAATTAGAAACTGATATCCATTCTAACTCTTAAGGCCCTGAATCCCTACGTATTTTACCTCTAAGAATATATTTCGAAAATATTCCACATATGTTACATCCATAACATCTTTGGTTTAAATAAATTTACACTTAACTAAACTTTTATAATTGCCATTAAAACATGATCTTTAAAGCTAAGGGTAATCTATTAAAATAAAGGTAAAATATTTCCAAATATTTTCTACCGAATTCATAAAAATTCCTTATGTCTAACTCAAGTGTTCCTAATATCAAAAGTAGAGATAGTAGCAAAGAAACGGAACGTATTTGCTATCGAATTGCTTTCAAAATTAATCACTGTCTAAACTTATCAGGAAAGGCTAATAAAATAAAATTAATGTGGATTGCAGAGTATTTGTAGAATTTCACAATTGGCAAAAAGAACGAACAAAACAGAGACTAACAAAAATATGCCAAGACATTTTGTAATAACTTTTAATAAATCGAACTCCACCAAAGCCCAACCTCCACGTTGAAGGTAATGCATCTGGCTAGACACAGGCTGTATCTGTATCTAAGCATTGGCTAACATATCTTATCTGTAAATGAGTTCAAGGTAGCATATCTGCAGTCTGACACTCTGACTAAATTGCTGCTGGACTTTGAACTAATGCAAAATAAATTGTAGCTAATGCATTGCATGATGAGTCAGCCGGGCGTAAGTGGCTTTTGGCTTTTGCCTGCAAGTACTTACCAAAAAGATCAGATTAAATCCAAATAGGGTGTACTTCACCGCATTTGCGCTGCCCGTTAGAAGCGACATATTGCAGATTTTTAACTCTCTCTGAGTCTGAAAAAAAAAAATATATATATATATAGATGTAAAAAATAAAAGACATTATTTATATCCCATTAGTTGTACCTGCAAGGTCTAAAATAAAAATAACAAAAAACACAACCACCGCGTATTCAAGTCACAACGTTAATAAATGGCACTAGGTGCCGAGCAAAAGAAACGAAAGTCAGTTATTCTTCCTTTGTTTCTAATCAAAAAATAATAATAAAATGAAAAAAAAAAAAAAAATAATAATTGCGTTGTCTTATCGGCAAATGATATGGCAAACACTTTGTTTAAGCCAAATGTGGTCAACTAGCAAGTGGCTTTTGTTGTTGTTGCTTTTGTTGTTGCTGCTGTTGAGACCACAATTTCAGACAAGATAAACTCTATTTGGGCGCGATAAGATAATGGCACCCAAGTGTAGCACTCCATTTAACCGTATAAACTGCGCAAATATATTGATGAATTTTATATGCTTAGAAGCGCTTAACATGGATACATATATTAAGTATACGCCACAGTGTACCAGTACGCAGAAAATAAAAAAACCAGCAACTCCAAGCGAAGTCAATTTTTCATAAAAAGATTCAACTTTTATAAATATGGCATATTTATACACTTTATACACGTGTAAAGAACTTTATAAATATGACATGAAATATGTAACAGTCAGATCCGTTTGTCAGTTTGTCTTGTCCCGTCTCTTTCAATCAAGTCTCTCAGCTTAAAAGCTATTGTCAGGAAACAGCAAAGGCTAGAAACAATTTGAAGGATCGGCATCTATATATGAACAACTTTTCTGTTTTCCAGATAAGTTGACCAAGTCCAAACCATAATATGGTTTCATAGGAAGAATGTGACACAAAATGTTCCATTTGTTAATACTTCACACATTATTCAAAACTTAGGAGTTTTACTATTTTCTTCACATATTTCGTGTGTGCAAGGGTATTTAATATTCGACGTGCCGTAGATTGTCATTCCTTCTTGCTCACCATATCTTTATTATGACTAAATAAGAGAGCGATAATATTAAAAACTTTAGTTTAGCCCCTTTTTCAGAAGTCTTATCAGATTTTTTTTTGTTGCTGTCTCTCTCTCTCTCTTTTATTTATTTTTTATAACTGATGACAACATTTAAATGCTCTCAAAAAGCATTTTTTTTCGTATATCAATTCATTGTTTACGTTAAATTTGATTGTAAACGTTGTATTTATGTTTATTTGTGAAATTCAGTGTTTATCCAGCACATATGTTTACAATACAAATACGCTCGCCTACAAGTGCTAAACTATAATTCAGTATAGGAAAATATTTATACGTATGGAATTTCAAAAGAGTTTTAATGTTCTGGTTATTGAATATTTAAAACGGGATACTTGATTGTTAATTCTGTAAAATGTTTTTAAGTGCTTTTTTTAGTATTTATTCAAAAGGAAAACAAAACAAAATTTCAATGTTTATAAATTTAATGAAGTTTTTCTCAGATAATTATTAAAGCGTTTATTTTTTGATGGATTTCCCAATCAAAAATTAAGGTTTCTTTAATTATTATAAAAACAATTTTATTGTTATTTATTTCAATTCACTTTTAAAAACTTGTAATAAGACGCGCTTCCGATTAAATAAATTTGTTAATATTAAAGTTCCCATTTGTTCAATTTGAGTAAAATTGTTTAATTTTATGGATTTGTTATGGGCTATTGTTTTTATTATTCTCATCACAGTTTGCTTAACTATTCAATCGACATAACGTATTCTTCTAGAAGCAAATACAGTTTTAAATGAATTGAACGTGACAATAAACTATAAAATGTTATTTATTAAGCTGATGTATGATATATATTAAAAGATTATATAATTTAAATACATATTTTAATGTGTGCCTGTTTCAATACATTTTTGAAAAAAATATACTGTAACCAAATAAATGTGACTCAAAAAACTTTAACGAACATTAAAAGCACTCAAAGGTTTCACAGTATCTAATCGGATTGAATTATTTCCATGTCCACCTGGACAGAATTTCATGTCAAGTTCATAGATGGGCAATAGGTTTTATAACGATTTTGTTTTGGTCACATTTTGATATTGATGGTTGTCTTATCAGATGGATGACTCATGTCGGCTGAACCAATCAGTTCCAATAGAAATTGTTTTCAAAATTGGGTAAATATTATGCATTTAAACCAATCTATCTTTCAATTGACATGTCTCAAAGCGTTCAGACATTTTTGTTGGGGGTTTTTTTTTGTGTAAATTAGTTGTAATGTATATTACTGGGAGAGCCGCTCGGCACACGTTGCTCAGTGATATATCTACTCACTTTTCGGCTCGATAAAACTGGCGCTGGCAACGACGGTTGGGCGACAACTGAGCGGCCCCTTCAGTCATATACTGAAAATCGCATTGACGTGCGCCGTGCTCAACTGGGTTTATCAACACCCATACATATCTGGTACACTCTTACGTCTATAGAACTATATATATTTATAGAATATACATATACATTAATATATATATATACGCTCGCACATACGTAAATGTTTACCTACATATGTAGATGGCCGCAGTGGCGAAAAGATAAAAACGCCTGCACGAGTGGTCGACGTACCTCGCAAAATTCTAACTGTAGCATTAACAAGTTAGAATAAACGTGTATGTTCGACTTTGAGATACACTTCACACTGCATTTGTTATATTTCATATATGCTAATATCAAGATAGAGTTTAAGAAATGGCACTCTTTTAAGTAATAGTTTTTTTTTTATTACTTGTTATTTTATACATTTAAAGTATATTTGACGACTGGTCGGTCTTCTATATACCCATATACCAATAAATAATTCTCATGGAATCCATGCTATAGGGCATTGACATTTATTTCCATTATAGGAAAGTAAGAGTTTTTCATCCTCTATCAGTGTACTATTAAATGTTGAATGGGGCGTATACGTTACATGCGTAATTGATATGAATAAACAGAAAAAACATTGCTAAATTTGACACGCCCCAAATAGATATTTTAATCTCTTATATCTTGGTTAAAAACAAAATTAATTCCACTATTTTAAATTTTAACATTTCATTAAAACTTCTAAATTTTTCCCATACTTTTACAATTAGGGTTAACTTAAATAACCCGTAGCATAAGTGAAAACTCAAAAGAAACCCGTCAAAACGCTTATTGTTCATTCAGAAAATATTTATTTTTATATTAAAAAATAATAAATCGAAATGTAATATATAGAAAATTTTACAAAAAACACAAATTTCCATTTTTGTGCTAAATTTTTTTTTTTAAATAAATGTATAAATGAAATGTGGTCTTTGCATAGGCAAAATATAAAACTTATAATCTACTAAAGAATATATATGAGTATCATTTGTTATTTTAATATTTATATGATTTTGTTTTTGTAAATTTTGTAAACATATGGGATAGTTATGTTTTTGGTTAGTCAATGTCAATGGGGGTGTGGCATAGTTTAATACTTGAATTTGGAGCTTATGCCGAAATGTGCGCAAACTTTGATCAGTTTATAAATTAGTTTCTTTATATAAACAAATGTTTGAATGCGGAAGGAACTGCTCTTGGAAATTGCACGCATAAAGTGTTAATGGATTGGTTTTTTAGTAAAACGTTGCTGTTTCTACTTCATGTTTGCCAATTACTAGTAATTACATTGAAATTTTTGTAAACGTGTAAAAAATTTCAAAAATTACCAGATTTATATATATAAAATTGACATCGCTAGCGCCTTGTTTAAAGCACGCCATTCAAATAACTACATATATGAGTTAGTCTATTATTTGTTAGTTTAGTTTTAGTAGTGTTCGTTGCTTCGTTTATTCAGCTATTGCTTAAGGTTCCCTCTTAACTATTTCCTATCCTTGCCATGGCGATCACGCTGATGCTTTGTAGCCGCAATGGTCGTTGTAGTAAGACTGTGCACATGGTGCTGTGGCGGCTGTCCTCCATGGTGCTTGCTGCCACTGCTGCTATGGTGGTGATGGTGTGGCTGGTGATGATGATGATGTCCATTCAGTGTGCTTTTACCGTGTCTGCAGTAAGAGAATAAGATACTTATGATTAGCACAACTTGCAGGATTATTTGTGATTAAAGTTGTTTTTTTTTTTTAATATGCTTGCTACTTGTTTTTATAGTATATATACAACATATTCTTTTTATAGAGTATACCAATGTTCTACTTCCACTACGTAGTTCCAGTTGCTAAAGTACCGCTTTTAGTTTTCTGGTACATAAGAAAATAGAGTAGAGCGAGCGATGTTGATGTTTATTTGTTGCCAGTTCTTTTCCAATTTCATTGATGATATTTTTGATAGTTTTTTTTTTTTTTTTTTTTTTTGCAGCATGTTCATAGTCAGTTTTTAGAATCGATACTAAAATATACTAGAGAGTGCTACTAGAGTGTGAGCAGAGCATTAGATAAAGATTTTTTAGCGTGTTTAGGTTTTAAAATCATGCAGTTAAAAGTATCGAAAAAGTTATAAATTTGTTTAATCGAATTATAAAACAGCTACTGTTAAACTTAAATATTATCTTGAATACTTTATGAAGAAACTTAAGGAAAAAACAAAACTCTATATAGATATAATTTGAGTCATTTCTGCTTATTTTTCTTTAAATTTTTTGTTTGTGGCAAATTTACTTTTCTATGTTTTATTTTTTGTTTATTTTAAGACTTTTTGAATTAATAACGGAATGAAGATTTAAATTCACTTTTTGGTAAACAATTTTAACGTTTAAAATCTGTCTATACATTTGTAACATTTGCTTGGAACTTCCCATTTTAGTCTTAGCAAAGTCTTGGTTTGTGTGTTATAAAAGGTATTATTTGATCTACATTTTTTGTATATCCTAATACTTTGATTAAACAAATTAGGTTTAAGCATGAAAGAGTTGAGTATTTAATTAATGTTTTTTATTTTGAAAAGTTAGTCTCGCATTCTACAGTCGTGTAACGATTTTCCAGTTAGATTCTAAGTTCCTAGTGCACCCACAACATGCTTCCAGTTGCTTAAGTAAAAAATGTTTCAAAATTTTGAAAATTCGCTTACGCTGTGAAAAGTAAAAACAGAACCATTTTCATTCATTGTGTGTATGTGTGAGGGTTTTTTATGTGCATGGCCGAGTGTGCTCCAAAGTATAAAACAAGCCCTCCTCTCTCTGCCTGCTCTTCCACTCACATTTTCTTTCGCCCGCTCGAGTTTTAAGTAGTATTAGTATGGGGGAACACAGGTTAGATAACTGCGAATCGTTTTGTTCGATTTATGTTTTTTTAATATTTCGTGTTGATTTGCGTGCTTCGTTTTGGTTGTTTTCTTTTCGCGTGCGTGAGGTAGTCAAATTAAAAACAATTATAAAAGAATACCCAAAAATAAAGGTAGGAAAATTGGTTGGCGTGCATAGGAGGTTATAAAAACGTGAGCGAAAACTTTTGTCTGTGACTGTGACGAGATCCGGTTGCGCCCATCCATGTGCGACTTGCTATTTGGTTTGCTGCTCCAGCGCTGACTATGAACATGTGCAGATGCCGAACGGCTGATGCGTCGAGACGCTGCTGCGCACCTGCCGCATACGCAAACGCTTTGGCCAGCTGCCCAGGCGGCCGGCCAAAGCGCCCGTTGCTCCGTTGCCCGCTGCCGCACCGGAACTCACAATACCGCCGCTACGCCCACTGCTGCCAAAAAGCTGCGCATGCTCGTTGCTCAAGTTGTGTTGATAGGGGCGCAACTTGGAGGCCGTCAATGTGGCCGGCGCCGCGTACAGCAGATAATTGTCATAGACATGGCTAACACTCGAGTTGCGCTTGGCCGGCAAATAGGGCAGAAAGGCGAAACTCGAGCTGGTCGACTGTGTGCACTTTAGCGAGGATTTGCGCAATGGCTGCTGCTTGCAGCGCAGCGTCGACTGATTCGAGTAGCTGGGCGTTTGGGGTATCATTTCCAGCTTAATGCGATGCTCGTAGGCGGCAGTGGGCGTGGCAGTGGTACGTTCGCGCTGTACGGGCACGGGTAAGAGCGACCGCTTGCGTTTGCGACGCGGCGGCGGCAATGGGATCGCAGGCAGTGCTGTGGGCGTAACTGTTACTGTTGCCTCATCGATGCTGGCATAGTCTGCATCCTCGGCGGTTTGTGTATTGGCTAAATTCGTTACGTATACGTACGTCAGTTCGTTGTGCGTTGTTGTTGCTGCTGCTGTTGGTGCCGTAGCTGTTGCTGTTGCTGTTGTTGGTGTTGTTGTGGATTTGTGCGTTGTTGCTGTGGCTGCTGTTATTGCTTTTGTTGCTGCTACTTTTGCGGCTGTTGTGGACTTTCTGTGCGCGGACATTGCTGTGTCATGATGATTGCTGCGACTGCTTTTGCTCGACTTGTGCCCAGCTGCGCTCTGCTCACTGTGTCTAGAGCGACTGGAGTGACCTGTGTGGGATGGCATCGGATATAATGAATTGTATTACTCTAACAAGTTGCGGCTATGAAAGTTAGAATCAACATTTTTCTGACTGTGCTACGACTGTTAACTTCGGTTTAGACTAACTGCTTGCGTGTGTAAGTGCATGTTTGTTGTGCGTGTGTGTGTGTGTGCTAGTAGGTGTCTTGGTGTAAATTTGCAGCTGGGAATGAGAAGCTTTCGTTTAGTTACAGATCTTATCAAATATTTTTTGCCGTTAATATAATTAATACATATTGCTTTTGCTATTTATCAAAGTATGCAAAAATATTTTGTATTTTTTTTAAATTGAGATATTAAACACAAAAAAAGCTCAGTTTTTATTGATTTAATCAGCTTCCATTCCCAGTTCTGCAGTGTATTGAAAGTAGAAACAAGTGCCGAAATAGCAACAAAAAGCAACAGCCTTGACGCTTAACTTCATCGTCAAGCTATGATCTATTGCTTTAGCTGCCCCTTTTATGTGCAGCTTAGTTTTTCGTAATGAATGGCTGTGGCACTTGGATCTAGCTAACCTAAAACGTTTGCGCAGCCGAATCGGCTGTGTGGCACCCATTATGAGCAAGCCCAACACAAGTAACTCTGCAATAGACATACATAGGTATATAGCAAATGGATTATGACGTAGCAGCTTGCACGAGGAATACGCCTTAGAGCCGAACAACTGTACACTTACCACGCGAGCGTGTGAGCTCTTCTCGGTGCTTCTCAGTGCCGCTTGTACGTTCACGCTCCCGCTCTCGCTCTCGCTCACTCGTTCGGTGTGAGCTAGTGCGTGGGCGACTCGTTTCGCTGACACGCGTGGAGCGTAGCAGTCGACTGCCTGATGCCGAGCCCGAGCTATGTTTGGTCGAATGCTCGCCGCTGTGCTCCTTCTCCCGGTGACGGCTGTGGTGATGCGTGCGTTTGCTTTCTGGCGTCGCATTGGAGCTACTGCGTGGTTTGCTGCTCTGCCTGGATGAACGCTGTTCAGTTGTCTCGTGATGTGTCTTCTCTCGCTTGGGCGTACGCATGCGTATTCGCTCCACGCGCTGCTTGCTCAATTGCTCATCCGAAGAGCCGCCTCCTTGTGTCATTGACTCACGCGAACTGGAACGCGAACGATCCCGTGGACAGCACTCAATGGATGACTGCGATGAGCTGCGTGCAGGGGTCGGCGAGGGCGTCGATTGTCGTGAATTGCGTCGTGCCTCCGAGGCGAAGGTGCCCCGTGCGACACTCAAAACTTTAGCATCGCCATTGTGAGTTTTGACCTTCTCATCGATGGTGGCCAAGGGCTTGGCGCTGCGGCGCTGCAGCGAGCAGGAACGACGTCGCTGATCCTTGAAGGCTGCCTCATCGGAGAGTGCCTGATCAAAAGAGAAATTTATATTTTATTAATTATATTCAATCAAATGGTTTGACTCTGCTCGGCACAAGTATTTTCTAAGAATTTAAACTAGTTTTCATAGAAGTTTCGAGTCTATGGGATTTGAGCATTGAATTAGATTGTCAATTACGTACAATCATATCATATTTCAATAAATTCTGAATACATCTTTGTGAAAATTGGAAATCTGTCGCGTGCTAGGTGCAATAAGTTTCATAGTTTTCCTAATATTTTCCATCAATGGGGTGGGAATGCACAAAATCGGTAATGTCTATATTATAATAAACTGTTTGCTAGGAGTTACAAATTATTTTAAAGACGATCGGACAAACATTAATTCTTTCCTCCAGTTTAAGATAAAAAATGTATATTGAATTGATTAAAAAAACATTTTAGAATATACGTTTTTTCCTCATTTAACCCTCCTGTCGGTGGATTAATTGAAATCCCTTTGGTTATGTTCGCTTAAGCTAAGCTATGCTGACCTTCATTGTTTGATCAGCGTTTCGTGTCATCTCGCTGAGAATCTGCGCATCGCGTTGCAAATCCGTCTTACGCTCGTAGCTGCCTGGTGAGGGCGACTTGACGCGGAATGTAGTGGTCAGTTCGTTTGCAATGTTCTCATAGCAGTGCTCCTCATCATCTTCGGGGAAAGCGTTGCTCTCATCGTTGGCCTGTGGACTGTGCCTAAGTAAATCGGGTCGGTCGTTCAATAGCTGCCACTTGGTCGTGGTGGTTGTAGTTGATGTCGTTGCGGTGGTTGCCTCCTCGTTGTGGCTTAGTTTACTGCGCGTGGGCAGCGTACGTCGTGGGTTGCTGGGCGTAACGTGTAATTTAGTGGTCTGTGTGGGCGTCGGTGAATGCTGTACACCAAAGTAGGAGAGCTCGTGCTCGCGTAGCTTGCGAGCGCCGCGTGCCTCCTTGACAATTTTTAGGGATTCGCTGCCCGATTCGTCTGCATTTTCCGCGACCGGTGCTTGCGGCTGTACGAGCAGTGTTCGCGGTTTGGCCACGGGCACAAGCTGCCCAATGCGCAGCGTGGGCGGTGTGGGCTTCGGCTTCTGCAGCCGGGGTGCATGCAGAGCTATGTTCATCACATTTGAGTTGGGCAGATCTGCAAAGGAGCATACAGAGAAAAAGGGTATTAAAGTGGGAAGTCAAGTGGTGTTCAACTGCCTGGGCCCTAGACGCTAAGTAAACTCCTCTACCTGAACACGGCACGCCCGTCGCGCCGATGGCTTTACCTGTACGCTGTAGCGTTTGTTCTTGCGCTTCAATCTTCCAGATGGTGCGCTTGGCTTTCAGGCGACTCCAGCTGCTCGAGTATTCAGTGCCCTTGAGCACCGTATCCTCGGGTGAGGAGCTGCATTGAGTGCCACCGCCACTGTCGCTGTTGTTGCTTTCACGGAAATAACGCTTGACCTCTTCATCGGCGCTGTCCTCCTCCTGATCCGCAGCATCGTAGAGTCGCCGCAGTTGCGTCAGCTGCTGACTCACGGGTATTTGCGTATTGCCTAGCAGCTTGAGACGTGGTGGTGCCAGCGGTGTGCGCGGCAGTGAATCGTAGAGAGCGCTGCCAAATAAATCGCTGCTGGTGATGGACGTAGTTGAGGTGCGACGGCAGCTCTCCTCCTGATAGCTATGTGAGCGCAACATGGGCGTGGGAACCACAATTGTGGGCTGTATCAAAGCGGACTCGATTGAGGCTATGCTCAGGCGACGCATGGCCTCATCGAATTCGCTCGCCGAGCGCATTGTTTTCATAATAAGCGATGTGGACTTGAGGCCTTCGTCCAGGATGCGCTGATGGGCGCGCAAGTCCTGCAGCAGCAGCTCCTGTGCGCTGCTGCGACGACGACCTGTGATGTGGAGATGTGCGAGAAAATGTTGTTGGTGTTTTGGCTTCTTTTGTGGTATGTATGATTTGCTCTTGGATTAGTGGCAGTGTTGGGAGGGATTAATTTTGAGATAATCATGACTGAATGTAAGAGTTATCTGCGACTGAGTAAATATATTTATTAATTGATTTTAATTAAATTGAGCACCAATATGTCAAGTCTTGATTTCAGTTAATATATTTTGCTTATTTCCTCATTGATTTAAGCAATAAATTTGTTTAACCGTTTTATAAAAACTTTGATTAGATCTATTGGATTTAAAATTTTTTTAAATATGGAAAATTTAGAAAGTCTTAATGCATACTTATACCCCACATTGGTGTACATTAAAATTAACATTTAACATATTTAAAAAACAGTTCATTATATAAGGTAAAAAATAGATCCCTGCGTTGGGCGCCAAATCCCAAAACAAGAGCTCTTACAAAATTTGTAATACTTTCTATTAAAACTATTCAATTCAAACATTTTTAAAAGATGAAACTTAGCTTTTCAGTCATGATTAAGTTAATTTGATATTTCAATTGATTCTTTCCAACACTGGTTAGCATTTGTTGTTTGTGTTTTATGTTTAAAATGTTAGCGTTAGATGCGTAGCGTTTTAATCTTGGCTTAGTGCAAAGTAGAAGCAGCGGCTTGGACATGCATTACGAGATCAAGTTTTGTTTATATCGAGACTAAACAAATTGAGAGTCAAGTAGAGGAGTTTACTACTGAACCATATAGACACAACAAAACACAAGACACTAAAATAAGTACGAGCTACAAAGTTAATTCGTTTCTCCAACAAAATACCAACCTGTTTCTGACCAATCTTCAGCTCCGAGGCTCACATTGATCTTCGTCGAGTATCCATTCCCGGCTGGCGATGGCTGCTGCTGCTTATCGAACTGCCGCTGCTCCACAATCCGCACCCGTTCAGCAACCGATTTGGTGGTTATCGGCGAGTCGCCAGCGGCTGTCGTTTAAACAGGGAAGTCAATCAGTAAATGCTACAAATGTTTATTTCATGTGCAGTTACTTTAACTCGAAACCATTATTTTTAACTAAGATTATTATCATAAAATGAAATTGAAATCTGATTTATCAAATAGATTGTAGAAGAGACTTTTTAGCTGCGTAAATTCTGGCTTTTATATATGCAGAAAACAATTCAAAACTTGGGTATGTTCGGCACAAAGGTTTTATAAATACATATTATATTAAAAGTTTTGGAGAACGGTTCATGCTGTATTCTTCAATTCCTATTTATCTGTTTCCACCCTTTTTCCATGCTTTTTCCACTAATGTGGGCTGAATTTTACAGGACTCTATTTGTGTTTTTGATACCGAAATGGATCTTAAAATTAATCTCTTACGATTAACTCGGAAGGCATTAACTCACCACATTCCCGACTTGGCGGACTATTCTCCCTGTTGTCGCTCTTGATGGTTGCTGGCACGCTCCAGAGCACATCGGCACTCTCAATATTCTCGCCAAGATGATAGGGCTTCGGCTTGACTGGCTTATTCTTTAATATGCCACGTATGTTGGCCAGCTCGTCTGTCTCATTGTCCGTTGTGTCCACTCCGCTGGTGGAGGTATAGCTATGCCTGGACGTGGAGCTGGTAGTCTCCAGCAGACTGTAGCGCGGCTCCACCAACGGCTTGGTTATAACCGTAACCTGTGTGCCAGCCACTGGCTGAGTGACTAGCTCCGGCGGCTCCATCAGTGTGGCCCGATAGGCTACTGTGCTGGAGGCAATTGTTTTGTTGCGTATGGTTGGATCGTCGCCAAAGTGGGTAACATTGCTGTTGGAGCTGCTGCTGATGCTGCTGCTGGTGACGCTGGCAGACTTGACCAGGCTCTGCAGCGGTCCGCTGGCGGTGCGTCGGCGTCGACGAAAGTTTTGCGTGGGCGGCGGCTTGCCATCGGTTTCGACAATATTGACTCGGCCCGATTCGGCGGCAAAGTGCACCTCCGTTTTACAGAATTCGACGCGTTTCTGTGCGCTGCTGCGCTGCAGCTGACTGGCACTGTTGTTGCCGTTGCTGCCATTAATGGAATCACCATTGACATGCACCTGGAAGTGGGAATGCAAGTCGTTTAAGTTTATTCGAATTTATATTAGGGGTAAAATGCGCGGCAATGTTCGCATGCAACAATGTATATCGATACATTTCGATAAATTTTTACACAATAAGAATCTGCGATATTTTTTTATACCGATAGAAACAAGAAAATAAATAAATCTAAAAATTGCGTTTACATGGCTGATAATCATAACTGGCACAATTAATTTGTTACGATAGACAGTTAATTTATAAAGAAGCGTTTAAATGTTCTGCTTAAGTCTGTTGCTTTTTGTACTATGGCGCCAAATCGTAAATCTAATCGATATATCGGAGCGAAAAGAGTATCGATATTTCTTATTGGCAACAGTTAGTCTTCTTCTTACCTGTGAAGTTTTCCGTATATCGCGCCAAGTTTCCTCTACCGCAATGGAGTGCCGCTTGCTAAGCTGCTCCGCTTCGCTGGGGCTCGCCGGCTTTCCCGCTTGTTGTCGGCCAAAGTGTATAATAGTGGAGCCGGCTCCATTGGCCGCAGCAGCCGCCGAACGCTCTGTGGGCGACCAATTGCCTAGCTGCTCACCCGAACGACCCAGGCCGCTGTCCGTGGAGGCGTCCACACGGAAAATGCTGCGATTCTCGGGCGGAGACATCTTTTCAAACCCGTACGATTTTCGACGCAAATGCCACTCACTGGAGCTGCTGTCCTTGGGCCGCTGACGCGTCTCCAGGCTGTGCGTATTGTGAACGACGCGAAAAGCGGAGGGCGCAGAGGGCGCCGGCACAGGCGCTTGCACGACCTCAACCGCTGCGGGCTGGGCAATGGCCTGATGCGCCAGGAAGTCCTCCTTGTACAGGCTCTCGTCCGATAGTTTTTTTAGTTTGCCTCGTATCTCCTGCAGCGACGCGGCGGTGAGAAATGTGCTGCGCTTGGCCAGCTGTGGCTTGCTGGAAGATTGGGCTGTTGCGCTCGCTGCTGCTGCCGCTGCTGCTCCCGCTGCAGAGACCGCTGCTGCTGTAGTGTTAAGTATGCTGTCCAGTGCGGCCAGATCGACGTGATTGTTGCGCATGGCCGTGTTCAGCCTGCGTCCGTTTTCCAGCTCGGCGCGTATGCGTGCCACACTCACCGTACTGCTGGGCAAATCCAATGGAAGTGGACGTGGCCTGGACTGTGCTTTATTATGATAATCCTGCGACTGAAAGGAACGACGCAATTTACTAACGCGTCGCCAATCACCGCACGGCAGTTCCTCCTCCGTCTGCTCCTCGCCGCGCTGCTGCCAGTCGTTGCTGAGATCATCCGTGGATATGGAGCGGGAACGCTGCAGGCTGCCAAAGCTGGCGGGCAACGGTGGCGCATAAACGGATTGGGACACCTGCTGGCGACGCTGGTGCCGTGCGCTGAGCCTGCAAGTGTTTAAAGCAGCGAACTCAAGCAAATAATGCCACAAAGATTTCAAATTTCAAATTGAATTTTGAAGCACTTACCGCAAATCTTCATCAACGTCGTCGTCGGCGGTGGCGGCGTCATCATGATGCCGGAAACTTTCCAAATCACGACGCAGCGTTGGCGTGGCCACAGCGGCGACGTCAGCAGCAACGCCCACGCGACGCTTGCTGCTGCTGCTGCTGTTGTTGTTGGCCTGGCCATATAAGTCAGCCTGCTCCAATCGCTGAGGCCACGTTGATAATGTGCCAGGTGATGATGATGTTGCTGTTGCTGCTGTGGTTGTTGTTTTTGTTGTTGTTGTTGTCTTCCCAACAATTGCATGTAGGCTTATTTTGCCCGCATTTCTGTGGGTGTTGCCAGCCGTTGCTGCTGCTGCTGCCGCTGCTGCTGTTGCTGCTGCAGTTGTTAAATTTGAGTTGTTGCTGCTTTGGCTGGAAATACTCGAACTGCTTTTCTGTAAATGGTAAACAAAAGCAGATTGGCTCGAATTAGCACATCTGTTGTTGTTGTTGTTGCTATTGTTGTTGCAGTCAGGCTTTAAGGAAGTTCTTCACTTCCAAGCTAAAAGCAATATAAGTGGATTTCCGTATTATAAGCGCATAAATTGTCTGATGGGCGTTTAAGCTGTGATTGACATGTGCCTGGACAGCTGAGAATATAATGGAAAGACCCACTCTAGTGTTCTTTAAAAGCTGAGACACACAAACATTGGATAATAATTAATAACACAAAACCTGCGTGAATAAATAAACCTATGGAAAATGAATGATCACTTAACTAAGCTTGAATGCATCGTTATTCGGTGAGTCTCGCACTTATTTTTAAATATAAGTAACCTATTTAATATTAATAGTTTTTAATAATACTTATTTATTAAGCACGTAAATTGCGCGATGGGCATTTAATCTTTGATTGGCATGTGGACAGAGTGTTGTGTGTATGGAAAGAACCACTCTAGTGAGCTTCAGAACAGTTCTAAGCACAGTGAACGTTAAATAAATATCTTAATAAGTAAATTGGAAAGCACAAGAAAGCAGAATAGACGTGGATTTAAATATTGTAGATATTGTGAAATGGCAATAAGCAGGAAAATGAAAAATGAGAAGTCCAGCTTTAAATTCCAGAAATATTGTAAATAGGTAAGTTTTTTATATTAGAAACGTACATCTAATTGAATTTTGACTTTAATACAGTGAAAAGGATCAACTTAAGTGAAAAGTGCAAAAAATGAAAATGCAAATGAGAAGACCTTAAATTATCTTCAAGGTGTCTTCATAAATCGGTGAGTTTTACACAACAAATAATTTTCTTTATCAATATACTTTTTGGGGAAAAAACATTTTATTATTATTTTTATACGTGCTCTGCAAGATTCCTCTCATTTAACCTTTTTTATATACGAAATATTGAATTGTTTATAAATATGATTATTAATATTGTTGTATTTATACATTTTAAATATTTTGCCATTGCTAACAAGTTTTTTTTTTTAAATTCCGCAATAAGCAAAAATGAAGAAAGCAATTTTCGTGTCAAGATTGATGGGCATGGCCATGTTCCTGGTGGGCGTAAAGCTTGGCGCGAGCTTCACGTCGTGTGTGCTACGACTATCCCCCTTGTCCCCCTCCCGCTGAAGCACCAACAATTAAACACTTTTTGCTGTTTGCCTAATGACCAAGCCGAGATTTAATTCGGCGCGTCGCCTTGCCACGGGTGGCAGAGTGCCAGAATTTCCTTTGTAGTCATGACCCAAATGTCTGTTGGCCAAAATGGTTCGATTGCTGTTCATAAATTTGGCTTAAGTGCCAAATGCTTAATTGAGCTTGCCTATTAAACCGATTGTTGCCAGGCGCTTCATTTGAATCACATTCAAAGCGTGGTCGTCTGGCTGCGGCTGCGATCTGATGATCCATGATGTTTGGCCAATTGCCAATTTAAAATGTCTAAATGTGACATGTGTGTGCACATTTATTAATTTCCTTTGTTGACTTTGCGCCGTGTGATAAGCGTTATTAATTTATGAAATTTTACTAATAAATAAGGAAGAAAGAAGTTGATGTTCTTGGAAACGGGTTACGTTTAACGTTTAGTACATAATATAAATACTTTTTACATAAACGATTCTTTTATATGTTAGATGTATGATCACAACTAATTATTCTTGCTAATTTGCTTTAATAATGTTGGAATCTTTTTAATTTTCAATTCGAGAGATAACATTTTTTTTTATTAAAGTATTCTGCTAGCTATCTACAGTTTTAGCATTTTCTACATATTTTTTTTACTCCAGAGGACTTCTTATTATTTATGCATTGCAATTTTGCCTTATTTGTAAATAAGATGAAAATTTACCCTTTCCATTTTTGTTACTCGGTTTTTGGTAATTTATGTAAACATCATGATTACAAGACTTTAGTTTTCATGATTTCCTCTACTCGAGTTTTTCTGAAGCCTAACAGATCGTTAAGAGCCATTTTCGGTCATTGCCATGGCCGGGATCTCATTGCCGATCGCAGAGCAAAAAAAAAAAAAGGAAGCAGAAAGCCAAAGAAAAGCAAACTAAGAAAAAACGAAAAGCAAACATAGCCGCATGCTAATGAGCCGCCAACAAGCGCATGAAAAATGACGGCCCAAAGCGGCGACTACCGTATTTCGGAGCCTGGACAGGCATAGGGTTTAACGTGTGCGGGTTCAGGTTGGGGTGCGGGGACGGATGGGCAGGCGGTAGATAGTGGATAGGCGGGCGGTGGGTACAACTTACCATTAGATTGCTCAATTTCAAACTTGGCGCAGTATCGAGTAACAAATTGTGGCCGAGTTTGTGCAAATGAGCGACGTCGTTGTCGTCGTCGTCGTCGTCTGCGGCGTCATCAACGTCCGCATGGCCATTAATCACAACAAAATCAACATGATCATCAACCAGCTCCTGGCCATAGCCAGTGCTTGGCATGGATGCAGTCGTGCACTCGTGGACGACGCCAGCGTCGCTGCCATTATGTATGCTATCCTCATCATCATCAACATAATCATCATGTTTGTCATCGTCATCGTCGTCGTCGTCGTCGTTGTTGCTTAGCTCACAAATGTCAACGCCTTGACTTGTTCGAGGCGCCCATAGCGCCATAGGCGCTGCGCCTGTGCTGCTGCGGGTGGTGGTTTTGGTGGATGAGGAGGTGGACCAACGGGATGTGGATGATGTCTTTTGTACTGTCTGTGTGCGTATCACCTGCATGGCGCCATTGGCGGTGCGCAGCACCTCCATTTGTTTGCGCTGTGTGTGTTGTGTGCCATTCGGCTGTGAGATATTTTGGGAATCTGATATCTGCAAAATCGGGCAAGAGAAAGAGAGAGAGAGAGAGAGAGAGAGAGAGAAAGAGACACAGAGTGTTTGGATTTGAGTGATAGCAGGATTATGTGTGTGTTGGATAACGTATTTGGATAACAAGGACTTAATTAATTGTATTATGATCGACATTTTTTTAGTTTGTCAGTAAGATTTTTGGCATGTTTAGTAGGTTTGCCCAATGGACAGCTTGCAGGCTGGCTCTTCATGAGGTCAAGTTTAACCTATACTGATCGATAGATGCATTTATCAATTTTACCCTCCAATTACATTTGGCTATCTAAGTCAAAATATTTATAGATTTGTGCTATTCAGAAAACAAGGCAGAATGAACGTTATTTCAATGTTACTCTTTACACGCATAACAAGTTTGAGTACTCTTATCATGCTCGACTAGCAGATACTCCGCACCTTTTAGTGAATTACCCTAACACATTTTTTGTATGCTCACTTGTTCTTATCCTTGAAATGCCATTTTTCATGTACCATCATGCGTAATAATCAATTTCATAATAATGAAAACCGCATTGACATTTGTGACATTTATCACAACAACTTAGAGCACAGAACAAGAACAAAAATATTATATATTTATAGTATAAAAAATACATTTTTGTTTCAAAATCGTTTAGAAATATTTGTTAGAAATAAATCATGGAGTTAAGAAGAATATTTATTGATGTTTAAATTCTGCGTAATACGCAAATTTAATGATATTTGTGGCTGTCTTTTATATAAGTAAGCATGTAAATAAATAACAATCAATACAAATAAGACCTGCACATGCATAGACTTTTAACAGCCAATGTACAAATGAGGCTGTCAAAATTGTATGCAAGTTTATTAGGTGTGTCCAATCGGGCGTATGAGTGTTGGCACAATACACACCATACATAACTGGGGAGTAGGGAGTAGATGGGAGGAGTGGCCTGCTGCTTTGTTAGCCAATGCACTTGAACGTCAAGTGGTTGCTTGGCTCTTATCTCAACAGCTGTGCGCGCTGGTCGCACACGTGACCAAAGCGAGCCAGTTACAAACCACTGAACCACTGCACCCTTTTAACCGTGTGCAACAATTAACAGCTGCTTTGGGTCGTGCAGCACACACACAAGTACATAGCTATCGGTGTTGCGGTTGTGTGGCCCAAAAGATCGATTGTAGCAATCGATTATGTCGATGATTTATAGCGTTTGAATTTTTATTAGGGTTCAGTTGGGCATATTCGTGTCAATGACCAAATCAAATGCATTCTCAATGCTCCACTTCCATGCAAATGCACAACAACAACAAAAACAACAACAATTGCCTGAGTCAATAGTCAAACATAAAATTTGATTACAACAAAAAGTCGAGAACAAATATTCTTTGTTACATGAAACCACAGAATGAACCACCGATGCTGTCAGTGGCTATTGTGGGTTGACTCATAGGTTTTGTGTTCTGACTAAGACAAGCTGTGAGTATTGTGGTAATTGTGGTTATTGTAACCACTAAGAAGAATTTTATATATGTGGGTTAAATATTTTCATTTTAATACCGATCGAAAAACTTTTCGTGACAGTGATAGCAAAATCACTACCAAATTATTTTTTTTTCAAAATATTTTCAAATTGTTAAAATCTGGATTATGGGCATGGAAAATCACTTAACATAGTGTTAAATTTATAAAAAAAAATCGCACATGGAATTAAGCGACGTGATATTTCGATTATTACAAATTTCATTAAATGCTTGATTTTACTCTGTAAGTAAGTGAAAAAGGAAACTTTTCTAGCTATTGCTTTTTAGCCCAGCTGCTCCTATCGATTCAACTACAAAGTATTCTAATATAAAGATCTTTTTAGAATTTCCAAGTTGTCTTAAGCTTAGAAATCTGTTAAAAAAAGCTTTTGGTTGATGACTTCATTAGGGTCTATATAAATTGCAGCTTCAAACATTAATCATAACGATATATTTATTATTGACGAGTTAGAAGCATATTTGCTATTGGTGACTTAGGTAGAGAGATATCTCGAACTCAATTAATTTTACCAGTATTTTCTTTAAGAACTATGTTGCCATTATCGTTTCCGTAAAACTAAAAAGTAAATCTTCCTTGTCCAATATTTTTGATGTCAACAATATAATATTATTTTCCGATTACATCGTCTATAATACTTATGAGCACAGCCTATAGCAAATACCATGTTCTATACGCTTATTAAACATATTACAGTGTCAGGTTTCGCCGTATAACAAAATTAATTATACAAGTTAGATACGCAATATGAATATATGAGTTAAAAAAGATAAATTTATGTATCCTGAGAAATTGTATTCTAAGTGTATCGTAATTTTGTGCCACAATTCGCCAACTACAATTTATTCCCAATCTCAGCTATCACTTTCAGGACTGCCCCCATTGAGCTTTCATTACTGGATTTGATTGGCTTTGAGAGTCCCTCTTTCAGTCCTTAGCTGAGTCAGACCATGTTACCGCAGGCAAATTGCAAATGCATAATAATTTGTACGGCTCCCTTAAGTCACACTCATCCTTGAGCGGCAGCCAAGGGTACTCAATACCAGGTACTGGGTACCAAGTACCAGTGCCAGTTACCTGGTACCTAGTATGAGCCACAATTGCGGTGCAGACATAAATTATAACCAAAGTTTCGAACCCTTGGGGCGATGCACGTTCTGTCGCTGAGTTTCTCACGCCACAAAGGCAGACAAAAGAAGACTTGTCTTAAATCTCCTTTTGGCCAGGTATTACATTTTTTGTTGTTGTTTGTTAGTGTGTGTGTCTATCGATGACCTCTTTTTACCAGCCGAGCTGGCTGGAATGTATGTGTGTAGGCTGTGGCTTTACTGTTTGTCCGCTAGAGAGTTTTATGGTCCCGGCATGGCCTGGCTTGGCCTGGTCTGGCCTGGTTTCGCTTGCCAGCCGGGCTAATTAAGCTATGCCAATCTGCATGGCTGTTGAAAACTCACACTCCCCCAGGGGTCTGCTCTAATCAAGGCAGCAGCTGGCGCGTTCGCCAAAACAAAAATATATTTCGCCATGGCCAAACAATCAAGGAATCAGTGTCATGATCTCGAACTTGAGCCCCCATGCGGTCGGCTGGCTGCCTGGCTGATAAAACCAAGATCCCGCGCCTCGCATAGCCAAATTGAAAAATGCTCAATGGCTTTATGGCTGCTGCCTGTTGCTTTTGGCTCAAAGTCAAGTTGAAGGTTCAATGAAATGCGGCAGCTGCAAAATGCAGCTGGCAGGCAGGAAGAGGGGTACCCCGAGACGCGCATATATTACAAGTGTGCTCAGCCATGGTACCCAGAGCCCAAAGTCGTGATGATGTAGACGTTGTAGACGTTGCCCGCCTTTGCCTCCGCCTCTGTCTCGGCTCTGGCTTGGCCTATGCCAAAATATTTTCGCCCGGGCCATGCTTTAAACGAATTTAATGATGCTGCCCGCAACATCGTCGTCGTCTTCGTGGCTGTCTCTGGCCATAAGATTGACTGTCTATCTCAGCTCTTGGCCTGCTCTGTCTCTGCCGTCTGTCCGTCTGTTTGTCTGTGTCAGTCTTTGGGCTGCCATATGCTCCATGTCTGCGCATGCATGTCGCCTTTTCTGGCGGCAGGGCTTACACAGATCGCTGCATAGACATACCAAAGCGTTGACTCTTTTTATTTTTAGCTGGCACTGACTTTGGCTGCACTGTGGTTATGAAGTCTACGAAAAAGTGTTGCTCTGTTATTAAACAAAAATAAATTAAACTTATTATTTATATTATTTCATAAATTTCTAAATATAAATATTAAATTATATTTTTACCTCAACTTTTAATTAATTAATTTCATTTAAGAAATATAAATAATACGTTTTTTATTTGAATACATAGTATAAATATTTTTAGTTTTTATACATTTACAAATTATATTCCATTCCATTTTCCCTGAAATGGAGCCCAGTGTGCTGCATGCTGCATTTTAAATTGCTTTCTGTCTAACAATGGCCATTTTGTTGGCCATGCTGGGTCTTAGCTCTGCGCCTCTTAAACGCTAATAATATACATTTTTATATGCATTATTTCTGTCACGATCTCGTTGGCTTTATATCTCTATAGAGCACAGTCTATGATCTCGTGTATATGTATATTTATATATATATATACATGTTTGAGTACCAAGTGCGACTACGAGTACTTATGGCTTGTTTGAGTATATCGAGTATATCGAGTAAATCATATGTGGGCCCTCGCTGTTCATGACCGCATCATGGCCAAATTGTAGGCTGCTTGGATGCAGTGTGTATGTATGCATTTGTGTGGCTGTGCCATGCACAGGAAATTAACAACTGGCGAAGCTTTTAATCGTAGCAAGACACGTCAGTTGACATCCTCAATTAGTTGCATGTAATTTACGAGCCAGTGGCCAGTAGCCCAAACGGACCGACCGGACTGAGTGCTGGCCAAGTTGGAAGATTTGCAGCCACCTCTTTATGCGGCGTGGCTGCGCGTCTCTTGGCAACCTAGTGACCCACAAAGACGTCGCTTGCCAGCGTCTATGTGTACCGTTAGCCTGCATTCGGGCTGGCTTGCCGCATGCCACGTCTGCCCCACAGTGATTGCAGCAACTGCCAACAGCAACAGCCAGCTTTGGCAAAACAAAAAAAAAACAACAAAATCAAATTCAAATTCTGCATTTTGCGCTTTAGCAAAAATGTAAATTTTTGTACAACTATACATAATGTAAATGAAGCCAGCGCCACAGACTCAATTCTTGGAGCAGTTTGTCTAACGGTGCTTGGAGCTGGGCTGGGATGCGTCTGTTGTTTGTTCTGCCCTGGCACAAATCAAAGATCGCGCCAGTCAATTGAATTCTGTCGGCAAGTTGCCTTTGACTTTGTCGGCAAACAGACACAGCGGGATAACCAGTCAATAGACTTCACATTGATATAAATTCTCACTCGGAACGGGGCAATCAAATGAACTGCGCGACTATTTAAACTGAAACTGACCACTGAAATAGCTTCAAACTCTAACTCCAACTCCAATTTCATCTCCATATTCCTTTTCTTTTTCAATGGGGTTCTTTGATTGTTTTCGATTCTATTGATTGCCTCGATCGGCAGTTGGTCGCGCCAGCAGCAGCAACAGCAGTGGCAGCAAAGTTCAATCGCGATAAGTTGGGCAGCAAAATAAAAACAGCAACAGCCGCAACAACTTTCAGCAAGTTTCTATATACCCTGCAGCCATATGGTAAATGTAAAGGGCATTTGAGCTGCGAGTGAGTGAATGTAACAATAGATCACAAAAGGTCTTTGTGGTTTTGTAAATTCACTAAATATTTCTAAAGATCTTGCTAAAATTGAATGTAAAGTCGTATGCCTATTTTATATTTATTAATAAACGTGAATAAGATAGAGCAACTATTTTTGCAAATATTTTCAAGATTTTGCTGTCTGTGTTATCAAGTCGTCACTATCGTAAATGCTCTTGCGATAAAAATTGATATAAGAATTCTCATACATGCAAGAAAAAAGTACACCTATAAATTAATGAATTAAAATGAAAAATGTGTGAGGCTTATACCTTAGCTGTAGCGATATTGCCCTCATCGTTGGTTATTGGTGGTATTTTTCCAACTTTCAAAATAATTTCAAATGAGGTAGCATTATATAGTATAAGTATATAGCATTTATTTAAAATCGTATAAGTTTTTAAACATAGCTCAGTAAAAGGTTTTATGCAAATTAAATAAGTCAAGGCTTTTAAATAATATGTAACATATATACTATAAAAACAATAGAAAGCTCAATAAACAGACGATAAAATATACAAAGCCCAATAGCTGAGAGTCAAAACAGTGTTGAACCCAAATACGCTTATTGAAAGCTTTTATAAAGTCAAATCGAAACAATTGAACGCCTAGTTCGTACATTCAATTTGTAGTGATTGGAGGCTATTGGAGAACTTAACGAAAATGTCGAAAAATCTAATTGCATTGGCTTTTTTGTTGCTATCTGCATTGTGTGTGGTCCATTGTGAAAGCCTGGAGGGTCGAATATCCGCTTTGGAAACACAGCTCGAGAACAAGGACGAATTGATAGCTATGCTGAGAATCAAAACCATAAGCGAACAGGAAAAAATCGAACAACTAGAGAAGAAACTCTCCGAGTTTATGCTACAAAACAACAAATGCCAATTCTCCAGCTGCCTATGCAAATCTACCGATTTGCATGAAATAAAAGTTCCCGGCACGGAACCGTTTCAAGTTTCCTGTGACTCGACTTTAGCCGGATCCGGTTGGACCGTTGTTCTACGTCGCATTAATGGCAATGTGAATTTTAATCGGAACTGGCGAGAATATCAACAGGGCTTTGGCGATTTGCGGGGAGAGTTCTTTATAGGACTTGATAAACTGCATCTCATAACCAAATCGCAGCCCTACGAATTGTATATATACCTGCAGAATTTGAATAATGAAACTAGATTTGCGCGCTACGACAGTTTTGCGATTGCTGATGACGATGCCTCATTTGAAATCACCTCTCTGGGTGCTTATTCGGGAAATGCCGGTGATGCGATGGTTCAGCATAAAAATATGAAGTTCTCAACATTTGATCTTGATAATGATAATAGCAATAGAAATTGCGCCGATGAAAATAGTTCCGGTTGGTGGTTCAATAACTGTTATCATTGGTATGTATTTATTAGTTTCTTTGTTTGTTAATATATAATTTATATTTGATTTTCAGCAATCTGAACGGACCTTATAATAGTGGATTTTATTGGTACCCGTGGCAAAAAAATGTGCTCAAATTTGCTCAAGTTATGATCAGACCAAAAGTTCATTAGAAATGGTAACTTTATGTCTGAATTTAATGAAAATTAACAGAATGTGAATAAACAAAACTTTTTAAAAAGTGGAAAAAAATTGTTTGAAAAAGCTTCAGTAAAACATTCTATTCTATTCCAGCAAAGACTATATTAAATTGATTCTTTTTATATATTTTTGCTATTAATATTTTTATATTTTATGTTTTTTGGAATATTTATTTCTGTTATTTTTTTTCTTATATCTTAATTTTGAATTTATAAAAACTAAAGTTAAATATAAATTTCAGATTTAAGTAATAGTTTTTTTTTAGTAATTATCAAATATTAAAGATATAAATTAAATTAAGTTGTGGAAAGAAAATAAGTCATGGAAGATTTAAAAATCGTGCAGATACATATTTTTTTTCATGTATTTGGTGTCCCATATATGGAAGAAAGTAAAGCACCTATAATCCTCAAAGAAGTTAAGTGTGAACTTAATTCTTAACTGCATGTTACGTGATTATTAAATTGACCTTAAAACAGAAACCAGAAAACTATAGCAAAAACCAATTTAAATCGAGTGCTTGAAAAGCAATATGACAGCATCAAAAAGTTTGTTGATTTTGCTTTGCTAATTGTTATCAGAACTCTTATTGAATTGATCTCAAAACTGACACAGGTTGTTCACTCTTGCGCCCTACGATGATGTCATTGCATTGGTATTAACTTTACAGAGTAGCGTTTTGTAGAGTATTTCGGAGAAACTCAATTCTCGCAGCCAAATAAAATACGCTCGAATTGTTGAACCGCCGTTCGGCACTTGAGCCGTGAACTTGAGTTGGCCACACGCACGACTCATGGAATGATGGCACCGGCTTTCGGCTCTCGTCATTTGGTACTCGATACTCAATATTCGATACTCAATGAGCAAGCAAAATCTGGTGTTGAGCTGTGGTCCGTCTGCAGTCATTATAATTAACCGACAAATTCTAGAGCAATCAATGGCAACAAAATGTATAAAAGCATAGCCCAAAGACAAGTGAAATCTGAAGAGCGCGCATTAATTACCACAGCGAGGTGTGTGCATAGATGTGTGTGAGTGTGTGGAAAGGTAAAGGTACAAAAGCAAATCAAAACAATAGCAAAATAAACACTTGCTGAAATATTCAAGTGACTTGGCCATGCGTTTGGCTCTTGCTTGGCAATTATAAATGTGAAAGATTCGTACGTTTCTTATTTGTATCTGGCAAATCGATTAATAAGTGGCACAGCGTGTGTACCTTGTATCTGTGTGAGCAGAAGTATCTGATCAGCTCGTGCGTGCGACCTGTTAATTATGCCCGAGTGGAGATGGTCAACGCTGATGCAGTTTTTCGCGCCGGCATAGAAGAGTTCTCTGACACACAAAAGCCAAACCGTCAGAATACAAAGTATCTATCAAAGTTTTTGCTATACGTAGCTAACGGTTTGAACCGCATGCCCAGTGGCATCAATGGAATCTTTGGGTATGGATAATTGCTTTAGAGCTTAAAACTGTAAAATCTTAATTGTAATCAATTTAGCAGTGAGTGGGTAACCAAGCTGTCTAGCAACTTTCTTTGATATAAGACTGCTTCTTCTAAGCACTTGAATGATATTAAACAATCTTTCAAATCCTTTCTCTAAATGACCTATTAACAAATTAACTTTTTATATCAAGAAGTGTTATGCTAAGCGCTAAATTTGTATTTTCTATATCTTAACTGGCTTAAGTAATTATGTATATTCAACAGCTTCCTTATATACCTATATTGTATTAAGTCAAGCCAATAAATATTTATCTCTGCTTTAAGTTTACTTTAAGATAGGTAAAAAAACTCATAGCTCACTTAACTCTCTTATTGTTTTAGTAATGTCTTTTCATTTGATTCTTGGGGGCTGGTCCCAATTGCTTGATAGCTAAATAAACTATTAACTGATTAAAATCGAAAGGCAGCTAAGCAAACTGGCAATCAAGCTCAATCAGTCGATAGCCCAGCCCGTTGCGGAGTGCACTAAATTAGTAGACGCCTCTACATTTAGAGTGCTGCAGCCTGGAGCGTGCCTTTCAATTTCATTTTAATGCTCATGCCCATTCTTACCTAAAAGGCTGCACTGACTGCAAAAACAAGCTACAACAATTAGGCCTCCACCTAGGCATCAATCAGAGCTCTGGTAACGCACTATGCACTGTGAGAAAATATGTTGAATATAAGAACAAATGAAATATCGTTTATGGCATCTATAGCTTTAGGACCTTGATTAAAAATTCGGCTTGAACTTGAATGGTTTCTGGAGTTTTTTGTTGGGGTTACTTGATTACGATTGACAAGAGAAGCAGGACACAACTGTATTGTAAAAATTAAACTTGAGGATACAATTCTGGCAGTTTTCTTGCGATAAATTGCATTCTAGATAAAAAGCAAACATAAGTTCTGAAGAAAATCAGGTTTCGATTAAAAATTTCACGGACTGCCGTAACAGGAAATGTAATATTTCCACGAAATGTTAAAAAGCACGAAAATAAATACAATTTATCCATGTGGACAAATCAATTTGTGCTACAGACCATGACAATTTTTTCGTTCGTCTCTCATTACATACATGAGATATTTTTATATAAACATATTTACAGAACCAAGCTATAGACTAGCGAGTCTTTAACTAAAGTCCAGGAGAACTTAATTTAATCAATTTTCCATTTTTTATTTCTGTATTTTCTTTGGGTTGTATATATGCTTGTAGTTCTCTTTCTTACCTTGCCGTAGCTGTTCAGTGGTCCATTTATCCAGCGATCTGCCTCCAAGCGGCCGCTGAACAGCGCTCCAGTGTTCGGATCGATGCGTTGCCATTCACGCACCTCACGCTGAAACGGGGAACGGGAACCGCCGTTGCCGCCGCCGCCAGCACCACCGCTGCCACCACTAAGATGATGATGATGATGGCTCTGACTGTGATTGTTTGTTGTTGCTACTTCCATGTTGCTGTCTGTGGCTGTTGTTGTTGTTGTTGTTGCTGCTGCTGCTCCTTCGTGCTACTGTGCGCTTTTAATTTGCACGCTCGACGAGCTCGAGCTGCTCTTGGTTGGAGTTGTTTATGGTATGTTTTGTGGTTGGAGGGCTGCTGCACTGGCTCCAGTTCTCCAGTTCAGGCCCCAAGTCGCTCTGTCTATTCGCTTGCCTATTTCAAATTATTATTTATTGTTATTATGCTACCGTCTGCTACCTTCTACAGCCGTTTTCGTTACTAAATTAATGGCAACTTTAATTTATTATCATCATAATCATTTTCTCGACGTTCTAACCAAGCTACTGTGTAGCACCTATCTCCCTGCCTGGCTGCCCAGCTTCTATGCTAACTATGATAATTTTCTTTGTTTTTCCTTTTTGCACGCTTTGCTGGCTGTTTGCTTTTATTTATTTTTATATTTTTGCTATTATTACTTTTTTTGTTCTTGATTTTGTTGCTTTCACGGTCCAATTTGAGCGCATGTGTGAGTATGTGTGTGTGTGTGTGCTGAAATGACAAGAGCAGAGTAGAAAGAAATTTCGTTAGTTAATTATATTGCAAAGTGTGAAAATATATTTTGCTTTTTATTTGCTTTGCCGGAAACCGAGTGCTTTGAACTAGCTCGCCTGAAGTCACTGCCGTGCAGATTTCTAATTAAATTTGTGGCCAACGTCCAGCGGATGTGTTAGATCCAGAGGCGCACGTTGTTTCCAACCATGACTGTCAGTTGAAGCTGTCAGCACTCGGCGGATGTCACAGTCTATTTCCGCTTGGCTTACCAGCCGCTTGTAAACTACTTATTTCTGTCAGTGTATTCATGTATGTGTATATTTTGTTAGGGTACTTAATTTAATTTGCTTTTGATGGTCTGACAGTCGGAGAATCGGCTGTCCAAAATACCAGTACTTGCCGCAATGACAGCACACATCCATTTATTATTGTCAAACTTGCGCAAGAATATCATTTTTTCCCCACTTTTTGTTTTTTTTTGTTTGGCGTGGTCAACGACATCGTCTGGCCCATAGGTGACCATATAATAACTGTGGTTAATCATTCTTATTTAAAATATAAATAAAATAATGTTCATAAATCATTTTTCATAAATATATACATTTAATTGTGTAAGATACATTTTATGAATCAAATTACATTTTTTTATTGAAATTTCAAAGTTAGTTAAATGTTTCCATGACATTAAATTATCTTATTGATCCCTAAAAAAAATTAAAAATGCAATCATTATATTATTAGTTTTATTAAATAGTTATAGTTATATTTTACTTATACCAATAGTTGTAAATGTTCGTAGTGTGTTTTAAAGTCCATTTTACAGTTCTATTTAGCAGAGAGCATATGTTATTAATATAAAGCATTTGCTTACAATACCACAAACATAGTCCCACTGTGCACTGTGGCACTGTCAAAACAAGTGTTCGGCCGGCATTAACACTGAAACGCCAGTTTGGCTAAATAGTAAACTGAATTTAGCACAGAGACCGACTTGGCGCTGCAGTCCCAGACCCACTTTGTACACCAACTAGTCCGCTAGGTCCCCCTATTTCCCCGCTGGTCAGCTTGAAAGAAAAGCAATTTTACTGCATATTTAATGGGAGAGGCAATGCGGCGGCGATGCCGGTCCGCTAAATAGTAACTGTTATTTAGTTTTTCTTTGGTTTTCTTTGGCTGATCTTTGCGTGTGGAGCAGAGTGGATCGGTGCTCAGGCATTAACTTCCTCATATGCGGACAAGGGGTATGACAATAACGCTGGCGCGAGTTGGCCAACAGAGCACAATGTTAAATAAAATAAAATGAAAATAAATAAAATGTGAAACTTGTTTTCGCCGTTGAACTTGCACTCGTTTCGGTATTGGCCAAATGCGTTGTGCTAGTCTCTTTAACACTAGGCAAGAAATAAAAGTTGTTATTATTTACTTGCTAAGAAAATGCTTGAATTTTGTTGCACTATTTCACTCGCGAATGCGGCACGCAACTTGGCCAAAAGACATTCACATCCACATCGGACACGTTTTGCCGGTTTTACTTTTGGCTTGAATTCTGTTTGCGGCTCACTGTGTTTGTGTGTTTAAGCGAGTGCGAGTGCGAGCAGCTCTTGATTGTGTTAATTAAATTTTAATTATGCGTAATTATGTATAATTAGACTTCAACGCTGAATGCTGTGCACCACAGCGTTGCCAATTTATTTTTCCCGTTGTATTCCTGGCTAATCGCTGGATTTGATTTGTTGGCCTTATCGCTGAACTTGTCATCGCTAAAGGTTACTACCACCTAAGCATTATTTAAACAAATTGTATGCATTAGTCGTCCGAACGTGTATTAATTGCTGCCTATGACATAGCCGCCCAGACTATTTAGGCAAATGATAGGGGCTAGTAAATATAAGCTTATATATGTGTGTGCGTGTGCTCGGCAACATTCTAAAATGTATTTATCTCTGCCATTCTTCTTTTGTAAAAGGTATGTCTTTTCACCTCTCACCCGACTCTTGAGGTGTTTTATCTGCAATCTTTGAAATAATTTTGAACTGCGGACTTAATAAATAAATTGTTTTAGGGGGAGTTGTGATATATGTCAACAGAAAAAAAGAGACACCATATCAGGTATTTCCAATAGTAAAAAAGAAATGTGGTATTTTGAAAAAGCACAGAATATATAAAATAAATGTTTGATAATAGATAAACAACCGAGGCTAGCATATATTTATGTTCGTTAATGCTGACTTATTTCGTTTTATTAAAAAAAAATTGCAAATGATTATATACAAGCATAATTTTAATATATGTACCACGTAAATAGTTGTTATGTTTAGGCCCACAAGAGAGCGTAACCCATACAACTTTCCAGTTATGTGGTTTAGTTCTGGACTAGTTCGCTGAGTAACCACAAAACCACATTGCCACCCGGAGCCACTGTCAAACGTGAGACGTTCAAGTCTAGTTTGTAATCATAGCAGACCTTTTATGAGCATGTACAGCGCCAGCTATTGCGAAGGTCAGTGCGAATAATAATACTACGAGGAATTTCTTTCTTTTTTTTTGTTTGTAAGTTGTTATAGTTTCATATATTTCATATATATATTTTTAGTTTGGTTTTGACATTCACTCAGCTGAAGAGTAAGCCGCAAAATACCGCAAAAAAACTATATAAACAAAAATATAATTTATATTCCATAATTACTAAAATGAAAGTCGATTTGCTGTGTGTGGTTGTGGTTGTACCTGAACTTGGATTGGGTATAAAAATGTATTGGGTTTTTTTTGCATTTGCATATCAAATCGATGCGTAATAGCGGAGCACTTGAAAATTTGCCTAAAAATATAGTTTGCTTATGTAGGTTAATCCGTCTTTTTAGGTTTTGTGTTACATTTGACAAATTAATACGCAAAAATTGTTGTTTGTATATATTTCTTTGGCTTTGCTGATTGATTTATTTGTTTGTTTAAAAATAGCGCTAACGTGTGGGTTGAGTCGTGTAAATATGCTTGGCCGTATTTATTTTTAAAAGCATTTCTGTGCAGGCGTCTGACAGTGGCATTGAAAGTGCGTAAGTAAGTTACTGATAAAAAGTAAAATACCTAAAAATATGTCAATTAAAAGGCCTATGGGTAAAAAGAATCGATTTCAAAATCGTTGGGGCTCAGTTTTGTTATTTTCAGCGCGTGCGCAACAAAAATCGTGCAACAATTGACCGATATGCAAATCTTGTTCGTTTGCAGTTCACTTGTTGGACTCAAAGATTTGCATAATTGGCGCACAATCGTATGTGTTTTTTCGTGTGTTCTTATTTGAATTTTCTCAATACAAACAGAAACAGAAGCACGCGCGTGTCGGACCATGCGTCAGTTTGACAGCAACCATAAATACTAAAGACTTAGGCAACAAACTTGGTTGCAAGTGTGAAAAAACTTCGGTAGCAAGCAAGGCGACAGCAATCAAAAACTGGATATACATAAAAAGAAAAAAAAGAAAACAAATATCTCAGTGCTATATATCAATTTTTGCTGCAGATTTGTCGATAGCTAGATAATTTTAATGACATCAAATGTTGCAATATTTATGCTATTCGTATACTTTTTACCCTATTCAGTGGTAAATAAGCTTAATGCAAATTCTTTGAAAAAAGTTGTTAATTTGTATAGCACGCAATTTTAATCAAATACAATATGTTACTCTTTTTAAAATTTTAAAATTCCCATTTTTCTGAAGTCCACATATCTTTTAATTAACGCTCAGCAACAATTATTTACTTCCTTGCTTTGTCAATTTATCTAAGTTTAATGCTTATCTGTTCTCCTTTCAACATTAATCTTTGACTTCAAACATTGGCCGATTTTTATACATATATGCACGTACAATATACATGTCTCAATTTTCAGTATCTGTAATCTCTTTGATGTTTGGCTCAATCTTTCAGCAAAACTCTTGCTACAATTCAATTATAAATACTTTTTGATTAAAGTGCCGCACATTAAATAGCAACGCCCCGTACTTCAATTGATATATATATATATATATATATATATATATATACATATATGTATATATATATGTATGTGTATAGAGCTTGCTATATGCATACATTCACATATATAAACCGCAAGTTGGCTGGCAATTTGTGTGCTTTTGTGCTTCCGTCTGCGTCATTTTATCCATATTATAAATCTAACTCGATACCAGAGGCTGTGCTATTGTTGTTGTTGGTTTTATTAAGATGTTTTGTTTGCGGCTTTTTTCTATTGGAAAATAAATTCATTTTTAATATATTTTTTTTTTACCTTTTTACAATTGTTTCAACTATTTTGTGGTCGCCGCGTACCGCAATGCTTTCGTTTAGCGTCTGTTATTTTGTACACGCAAATATATCTTTTGGACTTACTCCGACTTCCGCATGGGTACCTGAGGGTGGGGGCTGTGGCTAGGCAAATGCGCAAATCTTTTAATTATATGGCGCATTATAAGGCGACCTGTTGAGCACCCGCACTTGCAGCTTGTGGGCGTTCTCCGGTTATTTGCATTGATTAATTAGTTAAATGAGTCAATTGCATTTAATTAAGCGACATTTATTGAACACAAATTTATGGCTTTGTTAATGTAATGTGCTGTTAGACAGTTGTAAAATGAATGGCAACTGGTTTGCTGCACGTTACACACGGACAATTCTCTGAATATTTTTCATTGCCCGCCTTTGTCTTGCCAAATTGCAAACAAAATTACATAATTGAGTGTGCCAAAAGCGCAGACAAAGTTTTGAGTATATTTGTATGTACTGTTTGGTACAAAAGTTTCCACCTTTCAGACATTCACACTCTGCCCACAATTCCAGCGAAAACTGGTAATTGTTGTGTTATAATTTATCCGAGTTGCTGTTGTGACAAAAGTAACAGATATATTATAGACAGCACTATATCTTCCGTCTAATGAAAATTACATTTTATGGTTTCCTGCAACGCCTACTAAACTGTGTGTGCGAGTGTTTAAGTGTGTGTTTGTTTGGTGTCAATTTCACACATGTCGTATGCGTAATTTTGCATCGCCGATGCGTATGCGTAATGTCTCATGAAATTGGAGCCGACGCTTGTGTAATTTCCCGGGTAAAAGTGTTCAGAAAGTGCGACGTGAAAGTTGGCGCTGTGAAAAACATTTTGGGAAATCATCGCTCACAAATTGTTGATAATTTACGTTAAGTTTGCTTTGCTACCGTTACTTCTTAACACTTGCGCTTGACTTCATTTCACGGGTGTAGTTGTTGTTGTTGTTATTATTTTCGACAATAAGTCAAATATTTGCGCTTTTGATTAACAGAAAAGCTCAACAAAGCCCCAAATGACAGCTATGTGCGACTCTTTTTGTTATTTGTGTGCCCATTAAATGCGAACAGTCTGCAGATTTTTGTTGGATATGCAAAGTTGGGATATTTAGTTGATTTGTCAATGAATGAACATTTTGACATAATTTTTTACAGGCTTGTACAATTTTTAATATATTTAGACAAATCGTCGAGGTTAAACGTCTCCAAAAATACAATCTACAAAATAATTAATAAAAATGGGGTATTTGCGTTCTATATTAATATAGAGATGTATTTCATGCCCTGATTTATCTATTTATATTTATCGAATGGATTGATGTGATTTTATCAGTATGTACTAAAATAAATATATTGCAACTTGTTAGCTATGTACTTTCACAAATTAAGCAGCTACTCTTCCACATCTGCTCACTAATTTCATAAATTTATTCGTAATATGCTCTGCTCAACATGATAATGAAGCCGCAGCCAGCTGCGCCGATTATTTCCGCATGCAACTGAAAAATTGTACTGAAATGCGAAACAAAGAATGAAAATTGAAATTATTCGACCGAAAGCACAAAACAGAACAAACAAAGAACCAAAAACAAAAAACAACAAACCGAATAATTTGAGCTGTCAAAAAACTGACAGACTGACGAATTGCCTGACAGTTTTTGTTTCTTACATATATTTTTGTTACTTAATTTATTAAATGCATTTCAAAATTGCTCTCAACTGTGTTTCGTTTCTGTTAAGTTTTTTGTGCGGCAAAGAACTGACGTACAATTAAATTAACCGTTATGTTGTGTAATTTCGGACAGGCTAACGGCACCAACAATATTTTCCAGCGGTAATTGCGCTTTATTAACACACAGATCTTCCGAGCTCTGGTGCATGTTATATGTCAGTTTAAACAAAAGACTTAAGCACCGAACTTGCTGTAATGGGCACACAAAAAATAAAGCCAAACTTGTTAACTGGCAAAAACCCTTGCGATTTCTTTTATATTCAACAGAATTTGTGAGTCATTACGCAAAACACGGGGAGTATTTCATGACGAAACGCAAACGCACTTCGAACTTGATTTACATAGCGAGAATATTTATATATACCAATACGTATTATATATATATATATATTCTTAATTAGCATGACGATGTGAGGCCTCAGACGACGGCATATTTTGGTTACCCGGTCAGAAACGCCCACGTATACGGTATATGTATAAATGTTAATGTATATACATATATATTTTTATAGGTATATACAGGTACGATTTATGCAGCTGCTTTTTAAATTTTATTTTTGAGCTGCCTTCTGGGGACGGGGCTACAATTAAATGGCCATCATGCTTAGCTACAGCTACACTTGCACTTTAATAACAGGTTTTTGGCGCATCTACATAGTCGCATGTTTCGTGTGTCTGTTGCTTTAGTTGTTGCTGTATCTGTGTATCTATATCTGTAAATCTGTCCGCCCTGCGTATGCGACTGACATCGAGTGTCATAACTTGAGCAGCGCTCTAAAACTAAGACTGGAACGCCTTCAAAGTCAAGTTCAATGACGTACTCGCCATGAGGTACTTTAAATGGTTGTGAATGTGCCTGTTTTGGCTCGCCAAGCGATAAGATTAGACTTGTATTTGTACACAAACAAAATGCTGACGATCACATATGTATAAGCACATGCACACAGTCGAAACCTAATAACAGCAACTTGTTAACTAATTTATGTGATAGGGCTGATTGCAAACCGTATTGATTTGCATATCTAATAGGCGATAACTGCTGCTGTTGCATATAATTATAAGTCAGATATAAAGGGGTAAATAAATGTTTCTAGATTGTGTGAACTTTTATGTCATCTAACTAAGATTGAACTTTCCCGCCCGTTTAATGGGCATTTTTTGGTAGAGCGTAAATCGCCACAAAGTATTCCCCTCCTTAGCTTAGAAATAAACCCATATACTTATTATAAGTACACTTGAAGCCTTTGAGGCCGAGCTATAAATTTATTATTTAGTTGGGCCGAAGTCCCGGCGGTACTGCAATACCGGGCCAACCCTTGACAGAGGTGGAGCAAGCCCCTAAAGCACTCTGTCAAATTTCAAAAATCAGTTTAACATTACTTGTTCTCCAATGGAGAAACTATCAGATGTTAAGCTGATAAGAACAGATACTACACTTTGATCTTAGCCATTAGGCCGAGAAGCGATAACTTTCAAAGTGTTTCCTTACAAGACTCCATATGCCAGTAGCTTTAACCAGTTTTGAATTTTTAGAGACGTATGTGTGTAAAAATAAAATCATATTGCCTACTTAGAGGTTGATTAAATACACCTTTCGATACATAATTCCTTAAGAGTTAAATCGTTTTTTGGGTAAGATTCTTGACTTTAGCTTTTCTCTCTACGAGCTTAATAAATCTGGTATATTCATTGATCGTAAATTTTTTGTCGGGCCTGGCTGCATATTTGCCGGGCTTATTATAAATTAATTATAAAATAAGAATATTTATTAGGAAGATTAAAAACATTTGCAAATTTTCTATATATCAAGAGACTTTGTCGTGTTAATGCATATCAAATGTACGACCTTTAGTTGTTATTTTGTTGATGGTGATCCACTTTCCATGGCTGCTTTTCCCTCGACCAACTGATGTCCATCAACTGTCACTTAAGTGCTGCCAATTCGGGCGTTTACCGCCCATTTTTGTACTTTTCTTTTCCATTCGCCATTGATGCCACACTTTCATTTGTATTGTGTTAGAACAGTTGAATAATGTGCGAAATTTGCTTTTATTTTTACGGCCATTTGCCAGTTGACAATAGACCAAACAAATCTTTAACTTTCTTTACCTAAGCTCCACAAACGACTTTCATGTTACCCACCATGCATATAATTATAGAGCACCCAATGTGAGTACATATACGAGTACTCGAAATTTACGGCTTTGCTTTACTTTGATTAAGTTGTTTCCATTGCCCATTGTGCGGCTGGCAATTGAGACCAGACTTGGGCTCAAGAAGTTTTGTAGAATGTGTCATAAAACAGCGCAAATCTGTCAGAGATCTGTCTCACAGCACAGAAGCGTAGGTGAAAGTTGTTTTTTTCTTGTTTTATTTCTATTTAATTCTCTTTTCACATAATTTTTTCTTATTTTTTTTTTTGGTTTCTTATTGAGAGTTAGTACTTTAAAATACTTAAAGGTACTTGGTGAATGATATTTGCGTGCAAAAATTTGAATGCCTCCGAGACGGGGAGATTGAAAGTTCTCTTGAATGAGTGGGTGTGTGAGGAATAGAAAAACCCCACAGCCTCATTTTTTTAATGGGTAAAAGTGAATAGAAAGAAAATTAGGAATGAAGAGCGAAATTGTTTATTGTTAATGCTAATAACATCAAAAGAGTAATGAAATGAATATTTATTCTGTTTCTTATGTTTATAACTGAAAATATGACTTAAGGTCTTTACTCAAAATAATAAATTAATTATTATTAATAAAATTATTGCATTAATTGCAATTTCAATATAACCTTAAAAAGATCTATTTAAGATATAGCATAAAATAAAAGACTAAAAAAATGTTATTTTGCTTTAAAAACAGAACTTACGTCAATATAAAAAAAAATGCAAACATTTAAATTCTACAATTACTTATAAACCACCTTGGAAATGTCCCAAAACCAAGTCAATGTAGCAATTTTGTAGGTAGAATAAGAGGCACAACCCTCCAGCAAATTGATTTACATTTGCAGGCGCCTGCTTTGTCATATCCTGCTAATAAAGTTTACAACGTTTAGGCCGCCTTCAGGCTGACTGCCAAAATGGTAACTGGCCCATAAATAAAGTCAGCAAACGGCACTTATCAGACGACCGAAATCAAGCCAACATACGTTACAACGTACAGCCACACCCCCTGAAAACGCCCACGCATGCGGTGCAATGTGACAAAATAAATGAGCCGCAACCGCCGACGAACAGCTCACAAAATAATAAAAAATCCCCGTCACAAGAAAAAACGAATTCAGGAACTGCATATTAAATGAAGCGTAACGAGCACAGGAAAAAAGTTGCCACACAACGTCTAAGGGATATGAGACGAATAGGGGGAATTGGTTTGGTAACCCTACTCGTAGGGCCAAAAGTTAATTACATGCGACGCCTACAACGGAAATGCCAGCGACTTGTTAAGGTTTCTGTGTGTGGTCAACAAGTCTTGGCCTGTGTGTTGCTTTTTTTTTTGTTGAAATTGAAATATGAGCTGATTTATCTGTGGTCAGTTTGCAAAAATGTTTATATACCCTACATGAGGAAGGGAACGGGTTGTATACAGCTTATATAGCGTGCGTTGCAGTTTACTTAAGATGAGTTTAAAAAAGATAAATTTTCAATTTCAATTTAACTTTTTAACCATTTTAAAGAGTTTGAATATGTGACTGTGTTTCCCAAAAAGTCCACAGAAATGTTTGTACTAAATAAAATGATACAAAGTTGGCCAAAGCTTAACTTACTTTTACACTTAAAAGTTGAATTAAAGCTTAACAAAAGCAAATACAATTCTTAAAGAGTTTTGAAAGCTTAGCTTAATCAAATAAAATATATGCAGTGACTGCAATGCGCCGCTTTTTGAGTTTAAAAACTTGACCAATCTTAACTCTTTTTTCTTCCACTTGAATTTTACTTGTAGCTTCTTTTGAGCAGATTTTGAAGAGCTATTTAAGCCAGACTTAATTGCTGTGTAGAAACTCCTAAACATACTGACAAATCATTAAAATTAATTGCCGCTGACCCAGATTCTGATGTCTAAAAATGAAAGTATATACACGCAGCAGACTGAAATTAATTTCCCAAGGTTTCATGGACTAGCTATTTAATGCCTTACAGCTTATATTAAATAAGTAAGTAAGGTATCTTAATGTTGTGATCCCTTGACATTCGCATTCTTAATGGTTTTTATGGCTGTTGGCAACATACAATTTAACACTTTTACTTTTTTTTTGTTGCACAGCTGACAATAAGAAATTATAATTTACATAATAATTTAGCGGCATTTGTTGATTGATTTCTGTTGGTCAGCCTTGAAGCTCAACTGAAAGCCCCCGAAAATTTGTAGTTATCGCCATGTTGGCGCGCTTGTCGCTTGAGTCTTTTGTATGCCCTTAATTGGATAAGGCAAAACGAAAAAAAAAAATTCAAAACATGCAAAAATTGAACAGCTACATAAAGTAGATAGCCAGATTTGCATATGGTGTTGGCGGAATTTGCATGAAATCTGCGCAAAATGCCGAGCAAAACTCTTTTTAATGCTGGGTGGCAGCTGCTTAGATACCCATAGCCTGATTATAAGTTGGACAAGCGGATTTACATAAATGGGTTCGAATATATCACTGTTTTCCAAAGCAAAGGATGGTCTTGTGATCATTTTGGCATAAGATTAGTTGAATGCATGTTTAAAGTGGGCAGATAGCTGAGCTATAATTAATCCAATTGCGTTAAATATGGGGAACTTGTGAACAATTTATTGTCTGTAGAAAACATGTTGGGCTTTGATTAATGTGAGCTACATTTGCAGTAGAAATTTGGGCGGTTTGCAAAAATTATCATTGAGTAAAATTTTTAATCTCAAAGTAGTAAATTAAAACTAAGTTATTATTTCATTGTTAAACAATTTTTATTATTCTTTCAATAGAAGCAACAATTTAAGAAAGCCAAATCATAAGTTTTCTATAATTTCAATGAATTTCTTTGAATAATTGGAACACTTTTCTATTATATAACAAATTTTAAAGTATTCGCTTATATTTTATTAAATAATATTTAATTAATGTATGTATTTATACACATTAACATAATAATAAGTCTGCTCGAAAGATTTTTACATTATATAATTATTTTCAGTAGTAAAACGGTAGCATGGTGATATTTTGTGTTATATAATATTCTAATATCATTTCATTTAAAATATTTTGACATAATTTTTTAAATAAAATCAATTAAAGACCAGTCGCATCATCTTCCTGTTTCAAAAACTGGCTTGCTTAGCCAAAACCATATCAGATCTCTTAAGTAGCTGAAATGTTGTCTGTCGACTTAAGATTGTTGTGACAGTTCAATGCTAAGGCTATATTCCAAATATCTTTCACACACTATTTGCCTACTTTATTGTACAGTTGTGCTGTTATTTTAGTATAATTTCCAATTCCATCACGATATTTACTAAACATAATAACTCATTAGGCTAACTCAAATGAAATTAGGTATTCTGTGTGTTTCGCATCCCTCAACTTTTATTGGCAAGCTTTTTGCTTAGGCACAGCCAAAATTTGCATATCGATTGTCAATATTGTACGTTGTACTATGGCGTTGACCCGTACCACACTCGAAGAACTCGTTTCGCAATAGCCACAGTCACAGTTGTATTTCCCATCAGCCTCTTTCATCTGTGATTGAGTAAGGTTAGGTAGCACGGCTTCTAAATTCTCTCGATGTGTGAGTGATGAGTGCCAGTCACCAAACGAGCCACAGTTCGAGACCTCAAGTTACCTAACGCCACGTTCTATGCAGATCAGTAATAAAACCATCCCCACCCCAGCTCCGACCTATACTGGCTAAGCGTGGGCGGCTTTTCGATGATGACAAATTTTGTGCGCACACGTGTGCCCAGATCAAAAAAGATCTGTCGGCATTGCGTCATATTTTGTTGGTCACTTTTTCAATTGAATTGGTGATTTGGGCATTTGAGCAACGGGCCACTTTATGCCATATTCCACATGAGCCACACGTTGGCCATAAAACTGCAGCTTATGGCCGCTTTAGCTAAGATACAATATATATACAAGTAAAAAAAAAAAAATTGAGGAACTGGAATTGTCTCAAACATGGAAATGACCAAAATACTTAAGTGCACGTCTTCGTCTGGCTATAAAGATTTTGATCTTTATGAGCAATCGGTGGCGGGGGTGGTTGCATTGCATACGCGCAGATGCTTTAGTTCTATGACCTTTTTGGCCAAACAATGCCAATTGTAAGATACACTATATTCCAAATAGTTTTAGATGGCTGGCATTTGATTAGCGCTGACACTTTGCCCATAAATAACCAGCTAAAACATGTGGTCCCAGAAGGCAGCGCCTGTCGAGCGCTGCCTGACACGCAAAAGTACTTAACAATGACCAAAGAGTACTTAAAAAGCTAAAAATGGTCAACGACAAAC